TTATGTCTGGAGACTTTGTGAAGAAGTTCCTGACCACAGAGGCCACGGTGTCCTGGGCAGGATAAAACAATACATAATAACCTACCATAAAGTAACATTAGGTGATAAAGCATCTTCTCTATCCCAGGCACGCCAGTAGACTCTCAGTATAAACAAGCCTCCAAGTTCAGAGGTCAGAAGGTAGGGGGCAAGGCATGCAAAGCAGTGATTCTATAATATGAAATGTTACTACCTGTAAGGGCTAAAATCGAGATATAAACAAGAGTTCGTGGGAAGAGAAACATCAGTCGCTTAGAAATGTCAGAGAAGCCTTTGTGGGCGAGGTGCCAGTGAGCCGGTGCTGCAGAAGGAGTGGGGTTGACTGGCAGCCGGGGTGGCGGGGGCTTTGGCAGAGGCTGGGGGTGGAAGGAAGAGGCGGCTCTTGTCCCTCGGGGTCAGAGGTGCCCCGCAGGGCTGCGGCTGGACTTGGAAGGTCCCCGGTTGCCTCTGAGGAGTTTTGGATTTTCATTTGAGGAACAGGGAGTGATTAAAGTGGGAGGGCGGTTTGATCCAAGTTGTTTCTTAGAAAGACACCATGTTGGCAGTTCCAGGGAAGGGGCTTGAGTGAGGAACGACTCACAAGTAAGAGACCAATTAGGAAGCAGGGGAATCGGGGCGGGATGTAGACTCGGTCTCTGGCTTGAGAGGAGGAGAAGGGGGCGCTGCCTCCTGAGTATTTCTGAGTCTCTGGATAAGTTTTATAAAGCTCTGTATCCCCCGTGCCTCCCACACTGCTAAGCCTTTGAGGGAGTTCAGCAAACATTTGCTGGAATTAGGAAATGGGGCAGAATCGATACTTAGTAACTGTTTAGTAGGGATGGCGTGGCAGGGAGGGATGTGTTGGGGACTGAGTTGATCACATGGGGGCAGGGGGTGGGGAGAGACCGGTCCGGTTTGGGACAGGCTCACTTTTGAAGAATTTAAGGTCATCCAGGTGGCATAGAATGTTAGCGATATTGGGATGGGCTTCGGGAGAGAAATTAAAGGGCTGGGAATAAAGACCTTGAATCATCAGGTACGGGTAGTACTTAAGGCTCTGGAAACGAATGAACTGTGAAAACAGGGGAGAGAGGAAGTTCAAGGGTGCACGTCCCTGGATACTGCACACACTCAGAGCCTCAGGGCCAGCGCTGGGACGGTCACGGAGGCAGCAAGGAACCCGGGGAGGGGTTAGGCCTGGAAGCCAAGAAGAAGGCACTGGCTGATGGTGTCAAAGGCTTTGGCAAGACTGATTTCAGCATAGAAGTAAGGGTGGGAGGCAGGGCTGGAGTAGAGCGAGGGGTTGTGTGAGGACCGTGGCTGTTGGAGGCCGGGAGAGAGATGCAGGGGTAGCGTGCGGAGGAGAGCAAGGCAGAGAGGGATAAAGGTTTGTTTTAGGAAGAGGGAGACCTGAGTAGGTCATTGGAAGAGGGAGTGGAGGAAGGTGGAGAGATGGAGGGGTCAGGGCGGGGGCGGGTGGGAGACGGGTGGGGACCACTGATCAGGACAAAAGCTGGAAAGGTGAGTGGGAACCCAGCGTCCAGGTACAGGGATTAGGAGGGGGCAGGAATGGCAGGGGAGTCTAGGGGTGGCCGCAGGCGGGCGGCTCCAGTTCTCCCTACAGAGCAAAGGGACAGTGACGCTGATCAAGGTCTCTGAGCCAATAAGAACTGGCCCTGTGCTTCTGCCCCCCTCAGCCTCCGGAGGAACATTATGCTATGTCCCTGTGTCCCAGCGCAGGTTCTCAGGGGCCTGGCCCCTCGCGGGGCCCTCGGGGGCAGCTCAGTCTCCTGTTCTTCTTGGAACAGCCGCTGCCTGCTGAGTCCTCACTGTGTCGACCGTGGGTGCGGAGCAGCAGGGGTTATGGTTGCTGTTTCCATGGGGTTTGTTTCTGTAGCCGGTGGCCCCGGGGCTGCCCTCCGGTGAGTGCTGTGGCAGTTCCCACCAGCCTCCCTTCTGCCCGGGACACGGTGTCTCTTGGCTAAGCCCCAAAGAACACACAGCCTTCCTTGTCCTGGGGTCAGCTTTGCCTCGAGGGTTGGGTGAGCCTGGCTCCCAGCAGCTGGTGGCAGGTAAAGACTGCCACACCTTGGACCAGATGGGTGAATCGGACGCCTGCTTCCCTGCCCAGGTACCCACCTCACTTGGAGTTCTCTCCTGTGCTTTCATACCTCGGGGCTCAGTCTGTCGTGTGGGGGGAGCTGCCGGCAGAAGGCTACCCATTGTCCTGAGGCAACAGCCAGCCCGAGGACCGCGCTCCTGGGGTGTCTGGGAGCAGCTGGCCATGCCCTGGGCTTGGGTCGGCGAGGGAGGGGAGGGGTTGGGCTGATGAGGCCCTGGAGGGGGTGCCTTAGAGTGAGCCCTAAGACCGGCTGGTTTGCCGAGCAGAAAGCCAGCGCGGTTTGGGAACAGACACCACAGTGCACAACTTTCTTAGTCAAAGAAGGGCTAGTTGTCGTGTTGCTCGGGACTGGTCTGGGCCAGACCCTCTGCTGGTGACGGTGGCCTCCACTGAGGGGGGCCTACGGGGCGGCCGAGTGTCTGTCTTTCCGGTGCTGGGGCACACGCCCTCTGTGGTGTGTCTGTCTCAGCCGCTGGAATCCCGAGGGTGGTGGGGGCAGCAGCAGGTCTGCCTTGTTTTCTACTTAGCCAGGCCGGGCCCTGACCCTGACCAATTAAGTAAGAATCTGGCAGAGTGGGGCCTGGATGTCTGTACATTTTTAAACTTCTCAGGTGATCGCTCACCTTGTGCAATTGGCACTGCGATCTTCCGACATCGAGGGAGATGGGGGAGCCCTGGTCACCTTGGGAAGTGTGGGAGCTGGGAGGGCCCTGGGCTCAGCCTAGCCGCAGGGCCCCCACCCCGACCCTGGGGGCTGGCTAGGCTCGGACCCACCCACACCCACTGAGTCAGACAGTGCCCGCTCCGGTTTGAGGAACCTGCTTTCGCCACCCTCCGGCGCCGTGCTGCGTAACCTCAGAGTCGCCTGGGGTGCTTGGACAAAGTGCAGTGCCGGGCTAGACCTGCGAGGTCAGAATTCCTGGGTTTGGAGCCATCAGCACCCCTGGGGCATCTCTCTCGGGTGCCGGGAGCACACCCCTCCATCCTGACCAGTGCTCCTCACACTTCGAATGTGCGTTCAAATCGTCAGGATCTTATTCAAATGCGGGTCTGATTCTGTGGGTCCGGAGTGGTCCTGGGAGGAGAAATTTCTATTATTTCCTAGTGAGGCCCACCCCAGGCAGCCATTCAGATGCGCGGTGACCTGCAGGTGCCCAGCGCCCATGCCCCAGTTTTACAGCCAAAGAAACCAAAGGCCAGAGAGGGATAAGTGACTCCCCCAAAGCAGCCCAACATACTGTTCGTTCACCACTGTTCAGGGCTGGCTGTGTGCCAGGCAGCCGCTACATGCCGGGGTCAGTGCAGGGACCAGCAGGCCTGACTGCTGCGGGCACGGAGCGTCCACCCCACTGTGGGAATCAGAAAGTAAACAGTCACAGAAGGACGGACAGGTCAGAACTGCTCTGGAGGCCACGAGAGGCAGTGTGCAGGGAGTGAGGGCCATTGCCGTGGGCAGGTAGGGGGGTCCCGCACTTCTGTTCTGGAAAAGCAAGCAGGGAAGTTATAGAACCATGACCCCTCCTGGCGTCTTCTGACGGCACGCCTGGGACTCGACTGGACAAGGCTGCCCTCAGTGCCCACCGGGGTGAGGAAACGGTGCCCGAACCCCCTGAGGACGCTTGGCTCTCGTGCCCCCATGGCCCTCTCCTTCAGGGCTTGGGGACTCCACGAGGAGCGCAGGTCCCCTGGGCACAGGGCATGACTTTGTGAGCACAGTGCTCAGGGTCACGGATTTGTGATTTGTGACAAAAACCAGGCCTTGCCCAGACGCTGTCCCCCGCCTCCGAGAAACAGTTGAGATTGTTCGTTCATCCTGGAGAGGGCAGCTTCTCATGCCTCCAATCTGGGGCTGCTTGTGGAAGTGTCCGCCCCAGGTCTGTAAGGGCTGCCCGAAGCCGCTCCGGGGGAGGGCCCGAGAATCTGGGCTTTTGGTAAATGGCCCAGGGGTCCGAGGGCCCCGGATCCCTGGGGAACCCGGCATGGCAGCGCCCCAGGCCTCTCCGTGTGGCTGTGGACGCTGCAGAAATTTCCCCTGTGCCGACTCCAAAGCGTGGCCCCGGCCAAGTGGTGTGATTGCGGGACCTCTGTTACTGGGTGTGCAGCAGCTCCCCTTCCACAGCCTGTGCTTTCTGCACCGGCCTTTGCCCTTACGGGGAGGGTCTCCCACCTCCTCTTTGATCAAACAGACCCTGCTGCCCCAAGCACTCCGCATCCAAACACGCTGCCCTGGCTGTTTCCCCTGCGTCCCCTGGGTGCCGAGGGCTGGGACTGTGTTTGCATTTGGTCAGAGTCCAGAAGGGCTGGGAGCGGGGGCTCGTGGACCATCTTGTAGCCGTACCCTCGCCTCACTGTCTGGCCTGCGCAGGCCTGTTTGGCTGGCGTAGTGAGAGACAGGTGATGGGGAGGTGAATGGTGGCCAGAAGCAAGCAAGGTGAGGCCTTGGGTGGTAGTGAATAAACACTTAATTGCACAATCTATGAATCACACCCATATACAGTTAGCTTGACTTGCTTGTAAGAAAAAATAGGTGGAGGTGCCCATTTGCCTCCCGGAACTGGCCCTTTCCTGGCCAAAGTGGGGAAGAGGACAGCACAGGGGCCACTCCGGCCCAGAACCTGGCCCTCGAGGGGTGGGACTTGGTTTCCCTTCCTGGCACATGGGCCCCTGATCTGCCTTGGAGGGGTTGGGGGACATCCAGGAAGAGAAGGGCCTGCTCTGGATGGCTGCCCTGAGGCGGCTCAGGCAGAAAGAGGAGGTGGGAAGAGGCGGGCCGTGGGCGTGTCCTGCTCCAGAGTCTGGCAGGAGTGAGCGTGTGTGGAGCGAGCTGACCAGACAGACACCTCTGACTCCCGTCTCCCAGGTGGCCCGAGGCAGCCGGGATGCCAGCTCTCCCCAGGAACCCTGCTTCCTGCTGAGAAACATGGTCAACAAGTCCTGTGAGTGATGCCCAAGAGCCTCTGCCCCCAAAAATACCCCCCCAGAAGCAGTCTTCAGTCATCCCTGGACCTGGGGGGTTGTGGAGGGACAGATGGGGAGCGAGGGCCCCCCTTTACCTTGAAGGACATTGGAAGTGCTCGGGCCTGAGCCCTTTGCTGAAAAGCAAGGGCCAGGCTGGGCCAGGGGCTGGGCCAGCCTGAGTTGTGGGGGTGAGGGGGGCCCTGAACAGGGTCCGTGAGAAGGTGGACGAGGACTGTACTTGCCTCTTTCTGCCTCCAGCTCCTCTGTGCGTGTGCCCTGCAGGCTGGAAGCTGCTGGCCATGTTGGCGCTGGCCCTGGTCATCACGGTGTGGTACTCCATCTCCCGAGAGGACAGGTGCGTCGGGCTGCGAGTCCAGCTTCCACGTCCTGACGCGGGAAGGAGCGTCACAGGGTGGGGGCAGAGTGAGGCAGGGTTCTCCAGCTCCACCTCTGCCTTTAGCTGCTAGCCCGAGATTCTTCCAGGAGGGTGGGTGGTGGGCTTGGGGGCAGGGCGTGGGATGGCGCCCCCAGGCCCTTGCTGGGCGTTCAGAAGCCACCTCCGTGGTTTGGTTTCAAAACGGACCGGGGGTTGAAACAACGCCCTCCCCCTCCCACATTATGCTTCAGCGCCCGGGGCCCAGGTGCGGAGGAGAAGGTGGAGGCTGGGCCCGGCAGCTGACCTGACCTTGGCTCCTGCCTCTCTCTCCCACCCCCCAGTTTCTATTTTCCCATCCCAGACCAGGAGGAGCCCTGCCTGCAGGGGGAGGCAGAGAGGAAGGCCGCTCAGCTCTTTGGCAAGTGAGTGCTTAGGCTGAGGTGGGTGGGCAGGGCCCGAGGAGAGCAGGGATTGAGAGTTTCGAGGGGTGCAGGGCCTCAGAGCTGGTCGGACTGGGGGTGGCCATGCTGGTGGACCCGGGTTAGAAGAAGTCAGTGAAGGAGGAAAGGGCTCTCGGATGTGCTTGTAGGGTGTGAGTCAGGGGCCTGACCCTGGTTCTGACCTCCGCGTTAATCCTTTCCTGTCCCACCCTTCCCTGCTCTCACCTCCCGGCAGCTACTCTCGTGATCAGCCCGTCTTCCTGCGGCTTAAGGATTATTTCTGGGTCAAGACACCCTCTGCCTACGAGCTGCCCTACGGGACCAAGGGGAGTGGTAAGCATTGCATGGGGTTGTGGGGACAGCAGGTCACCTGGGCCACCCCCTCCTTTTTGACCCTCCTGGTCAGGGCCCAGCACCCTGGCCGGGGCCCAGACCTGGCAGGAGTCAGTCCCGGTGCCCAGGTTCTCAGCCGGGCCCCGGCTCCGCCCTGGGGCAGGGGCGCAGAAGGCAGGCAAAGCCCTGAGGAGTGGAAGAGGGAGGGTGGCACGCCGGCTCTTGTCATTAGCCCCTTCCGATCTGTTCTCTCTGTAGAGGACGTGCTCCTTCGGGTTCTGGCCATCACCAGCTCCTCCATTCCGGGGAGCATCCTGCGGTAAGGAGACTGCCCTCTCGCTCTGGCCCCAGCGCTTTCTCCTTCCTGACCCAGTGAGAGAAGCAGCTGGGGCCCAGCACCCGCATCGAGCCCTCCTGCTGCTGGTCCCCCGGGGCCTATTCTGCCCATCTCCTAGCCTGCCCATCTCCAGGGGAGGCAGGTGCCTCAGTCCCCACAGTAGTAGTGAGCCTGGGCATCTGGCTTTCGGGCCAGGCAGAGGCTGCTGAGGGGTTGCCAGGGCAACAGGCAGGCCCCAGCAGCAGGCAGTGGGGTTCTTTATTGGCACTCCCCAGTCGTCTTCAAGTCTCTCCTCTGCCTCCCGTGCTCTGCTGGGTTTCCTCTCCAGTTACAGAGGCCCAGGGACCAGGGACTGAAGGGGCCTGGGGAGGGGCCCTGCGTCGGGCTGGGCAGGGCAGACCTCGGGTGGGGCAGCAGTTGCCCCTGGGTCTGAGCGCCCTCTCCCCCCGCAGCCTCCAGTGCCGCCGCTGCGTGGTGGTGGGCAACGGGCACCGGCTTCGCAACAGCTCGTTGGGTGAGGCCATCGACAAGCACGACATGGTCATCAGGTCTGTATGGCCCGCTTGCCCACTTCTGTTTGCGGGAGGCTGCAGGCAGGCCGGGGAGGGGGGGGCGCTGGCCTGGGCGACAGCAGCCTTCTCCTGCCTCCCAGGCTGAACAACGCCCCCGTGTCCGGCTACGAGGGCGATGTAGGCTCCAAGACCACCTTGCGTCTCTTCTACCCCGAGTCTGCACACTTCAACCCCAAGGTGGAGAACAACCCTGACACACTGCTCGTCCTGGTGGCTTTCAAGGCCATGGACTTCCACTGGATTGAGAGCATCCTGAGTGATAAGAGGCGGGTATGTGGGGACATGGGGACCCTGTGTGAGTCTGGCCCTCCGTGCTGTGATGTCTGCTCTGCTGTCCCAGAGCTGGTGAGGGGAGACGTGAACCCAGTCTCCTGCAGGGCTGCCTGGTGGCCAGGGCCCAGGGCCGGCAGAAATCAGGCGGCAGCCAAGGCCGTCCCAGACTCGAGGCTGCCTGGGGCAGAAAAGCTGCCAAATTGTGTTTGCCAGGGAGAGAGCTGGGAGTGGAGGAGCGGTTGACAGTCGTCTCCGGGCGGGGGCAGGTTAGGACATTCAAGATCTGGGACCTTTCCAGACGTTCCTCAGAAAGCCCACTATGTCTCTTTATCATCCAGTCAAGTGCTGAACTGTCCAGGCTGGTGTTTTTGCCTAGTGTTTACACAACTCTGACTTCAAGGCCAGTCCCCTCACCCCGCACCTGTCTGGAGATTCTTAGAAATGGGATGGTTGGACCTCGTGTTCTACTCACTGTGTCTCCCAGCCCCTCCAGGTGGGGGCGCCCTCCTCTCTCGCCCTGCTCCACTCCTCGGGTCCCCCTATCTCTGGTGCAGACTTCCACCTCCCTCCCCTCACCCTGAGGGTCTCAGCCATCTCGTGGACCCCATTCCCTGGCTGAGAACCACCGGGCCGGACCTGAGAAGCACCGCGTCTCCCATCCCTTCCTTCCGACCTCATCCCCCTAGGTGCGAAAGGGCTTCTGGAAACAGCCTCCCCTCATCTGGGACGTCAACCCCAAGCAGATCCGGATTCTGAACCCCTTTTTCATGGAGATGGCAGCGGACAAACTGCTGAGCCTGCCCATGCCGCAGCCACGCAAGGTTAAGCAGGTGCTGATGTGACGGGCGGCGGAGGCGTGGGGCGCGGGCGGCAAGTAGGCAGGAGGGCCTGAGAGAGTCAGGAAGCCAGAGAGTCCCTGTCCCCAGGGGGCCTCCCTTCACCACCCCAGAGGAGAGAGCCATCACTTCCCCTAGGAGCAGCACCTGTGACAGCTGGGGGACCTTCGGGCACACACACATGGCTACTGGCTGGCCGGGGCCGGGGAGAGCGCACATTTCAGAACTGCAGGCCATCTCCAAAGTGCAGAGTTGCAGGAGGGCCGTTCCTGGGGCTGGTGGCTGAACTTAGAGGATGGTTTGGGCAGACACTGGGCAACATTTGAACGGTGGGCATTGCTGGGACTGTTGTGGTCTCATCTGCAGGACAGCTCAAGCTGGCCCAGTCGCTGTTAGATCGCTTCAGCAGCGACCTTGCAGAGGGGCCGGCCTGGGCTAAGGATTTGAGCTTACAGTTTGTCTGGCCTATCACAGTGAATTTGTGGAGTCATGATGTAGTTTTGCAAGTTATGGTTTTGGTTTTAGCTCTCAGTGCCCTTGGTCACGTGATCATGGCCGATGGGCGGTGGCTTGGCGCTTCCTGAGTGCGTCCTCACCTGCTTTCTGAGCCTCCGGGAGGTTGGGCGGGTGACCAGCAGAAGTAGACAGGACTCCTGTGGCCTTGGGCAGGTCAGCTGCTCGGAGCGTTTGTGTTCTTATCTCTGAGGTGGGGGCGTGACCTTTGAAGGCCACGTCAGTGTGTAAAGACATTTTCGAAGCATGTCTGTCATGGAGACCCGCATACACAGTGGAGGCCAGGTTTTGAGTAAAGAATTTTATCCTTTATGGGCATCCACTGGGGTTCAGCTTTGCACGTTGAGCCCCTGCTGCTGGGTCTGCTCCGAGCAGAGCTGGTCCCAGGCAGGCGGGCGGGCAGTAGGTCTTGCTCCTTGTTCTGAGGGCCCTCCGGCTGGCAGAATAAATACACAGGGAGCAGCAGGGCATCGCCAAATGCCCAGCACAGAGTTGTGCCAGGTGCTGTGAGATCTCGGAGGGAGGCGGGCCTTGGCTGGGGGCTGTTTCGGAGCCCCCACCCCCAGAGGAGGTGGTGCCGAGGTTTGGGCCTTCTGGGGTTCTGGGGCTCATCCAGCAGAGAATGGAGGAAAGGTACGTCATTCAACAAAACCCAGCACCAAACGCTCCCCCCGCACTGAGTTCTGCAAGTGGGGTTGCAGGGCAGCCTGGAGGCAGTTCTGTCCCTGGAGGCCAGAGGGGGAGGCAGGAGAAAGGAAGGCCCAGAACCCAGCTCTGCAGCAGGAAGAGAAACAGAAGGGCTGGACCTGGTCTGCATCAGTTTCCTGTCATTGCCTCACAAATTGCCACAGTGCTGCGGCATCCAGCAACGCCCATGCCCCGTTCCCCGTGCCGTGGGTCAGAAGTCGTGCCCAGCGTGGCTGGGTTCTCCGCCTAGGGCAGGTATGCGGTTGCCCCGCTCTCCCAAAGCCGGTGTAAGCCGAAATGGTGTGGGGCAGAGAAACAGTCACCGTTGATCTCTGGGTCTTTATTTCACCGCCATGGCCATGTTCAGTGGTGCCCAGTTTCATGCTAAGCACAGCACCACACGAGGTCTCTCAGTCTTTCCTGATACGTCAGGGCACGTCTTGCTGACGGGTACACAAAGTAAACCGAGAGAAAGCGCAGGTGCTCAGCCCCCCCACAGTGGGGTGCTGGGTGTGATTCGGGGGAAGGAGCTTGGCTGGGCTGCTCTCGCTGCAAAACAAATGCTCAGGCTCTGTTGGCTTTTCATCTTTTTTCATAAAAGTGAAAATCCCTCTGGGACTTCTTTCGTTTAGTGGACGCAGGTGCTTCGGTAGGTCTTTCATAAACATGGGTGGCATAACAGGAGCTTTCAGAAAGCAGTGAATCCTGCACGAGGCTGGAATCCGGGCGGCAGCCTGACTGAGTTCTCGTCAGGAGGCTGGGGAGTGGGGGGCCAACTCATTGCCAAGCTCCTTCTCCTGGGAAGAATCCAGTTCCTCATGGTTGCAGGAACAAGGTCCGATTTTCTTTTTTTTTAATATATTTTATTGATTATGCCATTACAGTTGTCCCATTTTCCCCCCTTCATTCCCCTCTACCCTGTACATCACCTCCCACCCACCTTCCCCCCCGTAGTTCATGTCCATGTGTCATAAGTTTTTTAGATTCTACATTTCCCACAATACTCTTGCCCTCCCCCTATTTTCTCCCCACCGTCTATGCTACTTATTTTCTATACCTCCTCCCCCTTCTCCTCCTCTCACTCCCCTGTTGCTAACCCTCCAGGTGATCTCCATTTCTGTGGCTCTGCTCCTGATCTAGCTGTCCACTTAGTTTGCTTTTGTTTTAGGTGTGGTTGTTAATAACTGTGAGTTTGTTGTCCTTTCACTGTTCATTTTTTATCTTCTTTTTCTTAGATAAGTCCCTTTAACATTTCATATAATAGGGGCTTGGTGATGATGAACTCCTTGAACTTGATGATGAACTCCTTGACCTTATCTGAGAAGAGCTTTATCTGCCCTTCCATTGTAAATGAAAGCTATGCTGGATAGAGCAATCTTGGATGTAGGTCTTTGGATTTCATGACTTAGAATACTTTTTTTCCAGCCCCTTCTTGCCTGTAAGGTGTCTTTTGAGAAATCAGCTGGCAGTCTGATGGGAAGTCCTTTGTAGGTAACTATTCCCTTATCTCTTGCTGCTTTTAGAATTCTCTCCTTCATTTTAATCTTGGCTAATGTAATGATGATGTGCCTTGATGTGTTCCTCCTTGGGTCCACCTTTTTTGGGACTCTGAGCTTCCTGGACTTCCTGGAAGTCTATTTCCTTAGCCAGATTGGGGAAGTTTTCCTTTATTATTTGTTCAAATAAGTTTTCCACTTGTTGCTCTTCCCCTTCTTCTGGTACCCCTATAATTCAGATGTTGGAACATTTAAAGATGTCCTGGAGGTTCCTAAGGCTCTCCTCATTTTTTGGAATTCTTGTTTCTTCATTCTTTTCTGTTTGGTTGTTTCTTTCTTCCTTCTGGTCCACTCCACTGATTTAAGTCCCAGTTTCCTTTCCATCACTATTGGTTCCCTGTGCATTTGGCTTCATTTCACTTAGTGTAGCCTTCATTTTTTTCATCTAATTTGTGACCAGAGTCAACCAATTCTGTGAGCATCCTGATCACCAGTGCTTTGAACTGTGCATCTGATAGGTTGTCTATCTCTTGGTCACTTAAAAGTATTGGCTCTGGTGCTTTGATTTGTTCTTCTGATTGAGCCATTTTTGGTCAGGTCACACCTGTTATGTGTGAGTGGCAGAGCCTTAGGTGTTCACCGGGGGGGGGGGGGGGCAGCCCACGTTGCTGGGTTGTGACCCTGTATGTGCGGTGGGGTCAGAGAGGGCGCAGTGGCACTTGTTCTGTGCTCTCTTGGATTTCAGTCCTCTCTGCTGCTTCCCACAAGCCGGCACCTTTTCAGTCGGTGCTTTTAGGCTTTATTTCCCATTGCCGGGGCCCTGGGTTGTGCCGGGGCCCTGGGCTGTGCGGTCTGTCTTGCTGCCCGTTTTGCCTGGTTTATCTGCATGCGAATGTGTGACCGTGGTCAGCCCTGCACTGCCTGCCCTCCTGGGTCTGGCTGCCACGGCCTTTTCCTGCCGCGATTCCTTTCTGGTGGCCGCCAACTCCGCCCCTTTTACTGGTCTGGTAAAATGGTTGTCGGACTTCCGTACAGTTCAGTTTTCTGTCTGTGCCGGTTGTGTTTTTGTTTCTAAACCTTTGTTGTCCTTCACTTTGCTCGTGTGAGGTGGTACCCTGTTTCTAGCTACGCTTCTGTCTTGGCCGGAAAAACAGTCTTAGGTCCTGTTTTCTTACTGGCTTCAGCCAGGGTGGGCGGAGCTCCCGCAGCTCTTCCCCCACATGCCCGCCCTCCGCCTTCAGCCAACCCCAGCCGGGTAAATCCATCGTGCTTCCTATCGCTGACCCTCCACTGCTCAGCTCCAGACCGGATAGATAAGCTCGTGGAATTAGGTCAAGCTCACCACGGTTGTCGCTGCCATGGTCAACGGTGCCGTCTACAAAGCAATACAACAGGAGGGGACGTAGCTCATTGTAGCCATGGTTTCCACCCACGGGCAAGGGCGAGGGCCTCTGGGAGTTTGAGAATTCTCCCACCGCAACATGTGGAATGGAGAGGTGTATGACAACGCTAGGTCCCCAGCTTGGACAGCTGGGTGGGTGGGAGTTCAACTGATCTCGGGAGCACAGGGGGAGAGGAGAAGTGGGTCAGTTTAAGGGGCTGGTGGCCAGGCAGGGCTGGCTGGGAGGCTGTGGCAGCGTGGTGCGGCGTGGTCTGAAGGGGATGAGGTGGTGGTGACACCGGGTGACACTGGGCAACGCAGACGGAAGGCCAGGCAGGAAGTGACAGATGAAATGAAATGATAGTGAAGTTCAGAAGTAGATGCTGGCGAAACCCCAGCTTCAGGAGGCCCTGCCAGCTGCAGTGTCTGGGAGGCAGAAGCTGAGGGCAGTGGGATGGGGGTTGGTCAGGACCCCAGGGCATTTGTCCCTGTGGGTGAACTGGGGTTGGGGACAGGCAGGTCCCTGGAGCAGCCCATGAAGCAAATGGAAAAGTCTTGCCATGCCCACTTGACAGAAAGGGGGAGCCCACTTCACAAAGGGCCCCCCATGAATGTGGGGGCCCCGTGTCTGAAAGAGGTGAGGTTCTCCAAGGCTCAGAGCAGAACCATTCCACTCCTCAGGGAGCTGCTGAACAGTGAGAAGCTATAGTTTCCCCATCTGTACTATGCTGTGTGGTGGCTAGGAGCCACCTACGGCTAGTTCAATTTCAATTTCAATTAAATAAAATGAAAATTTCGTCCCTCAGCTACACGAGCCCCATTCCCTTGCTCAGTCGCCAGCTGTGCGGGTGGCGGCTGTACAGGACAGCACAGAAGATGCCGCCAGGCACACAGCTCCCCCTAACAACACCTCCCATTCCCTCGTCCCTCAGAAGCCCACCACAGGCCTGCTGGCCATCACCCTGGCCCTCCACCTCTGCGATGTGGTGCACATCGCTGGTTTCGGGTACCCAGATCCTTACAACAAGAAGCAGACCATTCACTACTACGAACAGATCACGCTCAAATCTATGGCGGTAAGGGGTCCCACCTGCAAGTTGGGTGGGGCAGACCAGCCTGGGACACGGCAAGAAATGAGTGGGGCCAGGGGCCCGGAGGGAGGCCTCTCGGAGTCGGAACTGGCGACCAGGCCTCTGGACTCCCAGACGGACTCCCAGGCCAGCGTCTTCTGTGTTTGGCCACACAGACTGTTCTTTCTGGGTGGCGGCACGGGGAAGGCAGTTTCCGGACTGTGGGGCAGTGGGGAGGGCCGAGGAGGCTGTCCTGGGCCAGAGCCCCTCCGAGCAGCCCCTCAGTTTGCTTCCTTGGCTGTCTCCACAGGGGTCGGGCCACAACGTCTCCCAGGAGGCCCTGGCCATCAAACGGATGCTGGAAATCGGAGCAGTCAAGAACCTCACTTACTTCTGACTTGGGCGGGAGCTGTGCCCATCTGTCTGCCCACTCTGCTGCCTGAGCAACCCGCAGCCACGGTGTTGTGGGTGCCTGGTACCCGCGGGACCAGCCCGATCTCCCCCTCGCCTGTGTGGGGAGGGGTCCCAGGACTGGCCAGGTGTGAGGAGAGCCCCTGCCCCCGGCTGCTCTCCTGGAAGCCAGGTCTTGTCCAGGTGGAGGCCCTGGGGCGGTGGGAACCTGGCGGAGAAACGAGGGCTGTCTCCTGTCCGTCAGTTCTGGGAGATTATTTAACGGGCTATTTAATTTAGGGGAAGAAAGTGTCATGGGCTGGTCCCATGGCATTTACAGTGTTTGGACCACTTTTTATAAAATCACAAAAGTGAAGGGCCCACTAAGGCCTAGATCCCGAGCCGGCCTCCCAGGAGGGGGGTCGCCTGGAGCGTGTGGGTGTCCGTCGTCCAGAGAGTGGCTGCCCCTCCCAGCAGGCATGGGAAGAGCAGTGGTAGGTGTGTCCCATGAGGAAGGGAACCTCACCTAGAAAGAGGTACCAAACAAATTAAACTATTTTTCCTAAAACAGAAGCAGTTGTGAATGCCATGTCCTTTTGGATTGGGGAGGACGTGGGCGGGCAGTGGGACCCGGCAGTGGACAGGCTTGTTAAAGACATAGGGGGACCCAGAGCAGGTCACAGTCATTCAGGAAGTTTATTTTTGAGTACAGTGCTTGGTGCCGAGTCATACATTGTCACCCTGGTGTGGCAGGCAAGCAAGTGGTACCCAGAGCAGCCCCGTCAGCTGGACACCCAGCCTGGCATCCTGGATCCTGGTGAACTTCCCAGCGGTGGGGAGAGGCACGGGGATGCCAGATGGGAGGGGCAGCACCTTCCCCACCTTCCTTCCTCTCTGACCACCAGCTCACAGTTTGCAAAGTCTCATGTTGGGAGGTGTCTGTGTGAGGACGCGGGTGGAGTCAGACAAAGGAAGCCAAGTTTTCCTTCGCAGATTAAGTGGGAATCATAAAAATGGAGTTTGCAGAAGGTCTTGCCAATGGCCCGGGTTGCCAAGGTCGGGACGGGCAGGGCTGGGGCAGCAGCTAAGGGGTTTGGCACGGCCTGCCCACCAGTTGCCAGACCAGGGGGTGAAATGCCCCCACCCCAGGTCTCTAGACTTGGGGTAGCTCTGCCATTTGCCTGCCTCTCCCCTCTTTGTTCTCCATCTTCCCAAGTCCTGCTTGGCTGCCAACTGGGCTTGCTGCCACCCCACAGCTGTCTCTTTACATCTGGAGCCAGGAGGGAGAGCTGGAGCTCCCCACAGGGGGTGGGACTCACAGCTGTGTGCCTGGCTTTCTCGGAAAGAGTTGCAGCCTTGAGGTTTTGGAGCTGGGCTGGGACAGGACACATAGGAAAGGGCAGGGGCTTGGGGAGGGACAGAGGAAAATGACATACTTCTTGACAGTGTTAGAGTGGCCTGCAGAACACCCACCATCATCCCGTCGGAGGAGGGGAGGGGATGGCCGCTCTGAGTAGCCTGGTGGGATTACGGGGAGAGGGGGGAACCCCACCAGCAAGTAGGGGTCCAGCATCTGCCGGGGTTTTGCAAGGCAGCGGGGAGGGGTCTTGCTGATAGGTGCATGAGCACAGGGTTGGGGATCTCAGTTCTGCTCCGCCCCAATGCTTCCCCAGCTGTTTCTCATTGAGGGTGTGCAAGGGAGTGTCCATTTTCCCATCCAGGCCCATTGAAAGTGGCTGTCGGCACACATGATCCAGCTGTCCTAGACTGGGGTCACTGCCTGTTACTGAACGGGCCTAAACGTGAGCCAGAATCCGACACACAAGGATGGGTCAGGCTCCACATGCACATGCATGTGGACAAAGGGCATGTTACATTCTCGTCAGGTTAGGCCTCTGATGCTGTGTGCAGACAGCCCTTCACAACGGCGCACACAGGGCCGTGTGCGGGGGTGGGTACACACACCCTACCGGTCCATTGTTCTCTCGGGGTGTGGGCTCAGCTTTCTCCAGGATGCAGCCTGAGGCAGCGCTGGCTGAGGGGCAGTGCTGCCCGTGGAGCTTTGATGTGGAGTAGCTGGGTGGGGTTCTTGGGTGTGCTGAGAAAGGACATTCTTCTTCCGTTGGCCCGCAGTGTGAACGAACTGCCTGTCAGCCTGGCTGGTACTGATTACACCGCCCTGAACATGAGGCAGGAAAGAGAACAGGGAACAGGAGGGGCAAGCAGTGGTGCAAGCCCACAGTCTGGGTTCTACACCAGGCTCTGCCACTTGTTCATGGAGGACCAATCATTTCTGTAGGTCCATGGTCCAAGGTCTTACGTTTCTCGAAATCAGAGGTTGGGCCCAGCCAATGAGGACCTCTTAGATCAGTATTATCTGGGGAGGAATGAAGAATGCAGATTCTTGGGTCTTACCCAGGCTGCTGGGGTGCAGGAATCTGGAATTTTAACAAGCAATCAGAACCACTGCTCTAGCAGTCTAGACTCCAGGATGACCTCATGCGCCTCTCAAATCCTCTGTCTGGGTGCAAAGCCCATCCTAATCCCCTCGCATTCTGGAGCTGCGTTAACCAGGCGAGTTTGCAAAAGGAGCCTACAGCGAGGCTGGTCCCGCCCCCGGCGGAGAGAGGCAGGGTGCGCATGCGCATTCTCGCCCGCTAGCTAGGGCCAGCCTGGCAGGCGTGGGAACCCGAAGCGCAAGGTCACCGCTGAGCCAGGCCTCTGGGGCTCCGCTCCCGCCCAGCCTCACCGGGCTCTGCAAGCCCTGCGCCCCTTCACAGAGTCCTGTAAAAGCGGACTCCCAGCCCAGCCACGGAGCGAGGCAAGAAGGAGGTTAGGCTTTGGTCTACCCCACGAACACATTTAAGGGACACCTTTGTATGAACATCAGATAGTGTGCCTTCATTTTGGACACTTCGGGTGTTTCTTTACACTTCCTAAGATCAATAGCACATCCCCCACCCCGCCCCCCGACCGACGAGTCTGCGGAAAGTGGGAGCTGGGAGCAGTTCTGTCTGTAAGGCGGGAAAAGATGGAATGCACACAACGCAGGACGGACGGTTGGGCGGCGGGTCGCACTCCCTGCTGCCTTGTCATCAGCTGGGGGAAGCCCTGCCCCTCCGTCTGGAGCACGGGTTGTGCCTACCTGCCTCGCAGTGAGGTTTGAAGGGTCTAATGGGTAGATTGCGTGGACCGTAAAGAATTATACAGATGTTAGATCGGAAAGCTGCCTTGTGTGGTGGAAAACACCAGAAAGCAGAGGAAACAGGTGAGATACAGCTGCCGGGTCAAATATTTGCCCAGGTATATGGTAACATGGCCTGTTCCAGAAAAGTCTGTCTCTGAGTCACCCGCAAGCAAAAGAAGGGTAAGACATCAGTGAAGTGACTCAAATGCAGGCTTTGTATAATCAAGCAACGAACCGTGAGTGCTGCTCTCTGCAGCGATTTTCCTGTCGAAGTCAGACGCCTTTGGGGGCTTTTGGAGAAGGCGCTTTCTTGGGAGACATTATCCACTTTTTTCAGTGGTAGGCACATCACACAGCATACCACAGTGGGTTCCTACACCAAGGCTGGTAAGTACGGCCTCCGTGGGTCTCTCCACCCTGACTTTTCTGCTGTCTTAATTATAACTTCAGAAAACTGTTTGTTAGTTTGGAGCATTCACATGGTTCTGTACCAGACATGGCCCCAGGAACATCTTTCCAAATTAAAAGTTTAAGGAGGGATGTGTGTGTGTGTGTGTGTGTGTTTGTGTGTGTAACTATAGCCTGTTTTCCCTTCTAGTTCTTTCTCCACAAGTTTACTTCTCTGGTTAGACAGCAGGTCTTGAGGATCTTGCATCCGAGAATTGAGGCAGGGAGATGAATTGTGAGTCTCAGCAGGTGCCAGATCTGGGGGGAGCCCAAATGTTTCAGAAGGCTCCGCTTCCTCATGTAAGGAAGGGGGTTGCAGAGAGCTGGCGTCAGGTGGGAGAGGTCACAGTCCTGTCTGTGAGGGTCTGACAAAGGTTCCTAGGGAAACATGAACTTGGGAAGGCAGATTTCAGGTTCCCGGGGAAAACTAACATTTTAAAGTACGTCTGCCCCTCGAGAGAGGCACAGCTTCTCAGGAATCTTGCAAGACTGGGAGGGTGGACTTGGGTGGAGGGAATGCGAGAAGGCTTAGATGTTGAAATCACACTGGGGGATCGAAGTTGGAATTACTGAACTAAGCTATTCCAGAACCATCTATTAGTCTGAGACTTCCTCAAAGCACTGTTTACCTACATCGCCCATTTTAACACTGAAGGAGTATCTTCTGCTTAAAAATGTGTTTCTCTCCTGAGGGGGGAAAATGAATTACTGTTGTGGAAACTGGAATCCAGTAGGGCAGCTCTCAGCAGTTCCGTTCTCTTTCTCTGTAGATTTATGTTCCACTGGTGAAGGCCTGCGTGGCAGAAGAGCTAGAGAAACTATTAATTAAAAGTCAAATGGGGGTTCTTATCCGAAACTTCTTCGGTAGAAGCCCTGGATCCTATCTTGATCTCCACTGCCCTCTTTCTTCCAAGTGCAGTGTTCATTAGCGTCCCAGACACATTAAAAGAGACCCTGGCCCTTTTAATTTTCTTACAAAGCAGGCAAAGGTGGTATTTTTAATTTGGTCCACTTGAACGTGTCTTTGGCGGTGACCTTCGGGGGAAGACTCCCTGCGTTCAGTTTCTGTCCCGAGCAGCTCTTTTCCTCTTGCATCATTGGGAACAGAAACCAGAGAAGCTCCATTTCCTAAGACCCCAGTGCTCTCACTTGCTGTTCCCTGAGACTCTACTTACCTTGTCTTAGAATCTCAGGAGCATTCCTTGAATGTTCTCATGGCATTCCAAGGCATTTCTAAGGGCCATGAGGTCAGGCAGCAGCAGGAGATAGATGTCTTTGTGGGCTAGTTTCCCTGATTTGTGGGCTCAAGAACCACTTTGGGACCCAAGGTGGAGGAGACCCCACCCAATGGGTGGGCTCCGTGAACTGTTCCAGAGAGGAAATGCGGAAACATGGAGTGGCAGGTGGATACCAGCACCAGGGATTTAGACTATAGTCTGTGAGAATGGTGTGTGTTTGTTCACAAAAGGCCCTTTAAAAGGGTTAGGGCAGCCTTTGCTGGTATGGCTCAGTGGATTGAGTGCTGACCCATGAACCAAAGTGTCACTGGTTCAATTCTCAGTCAGGGCACATGCCTGAGTTGTGGGCCAGGTCCCCAATAGGGGGCACACGAGAGGCAACCACACATTGATGTTTCTCTCCCTCTCTTTCTCCCTCCCTCTAAAACTAAATCTTAAAAAAAAAGAGAGAAAAAATATATATAAAAGGGGAAGAGCAGGAGTAAGTAAAACTGCATGAGCCTGCAGTAATGAAAGATCTCCGTGGATGTCAGAGCCTGGGCCGTGAGAGGGGCAGGGGCGGGGGAACTGGGGAGAACAGCGGTTAGGGAGAGGGACCGATGATCGTCTTCCTGCAGCAAAAATGCCTTTGCCCCCCAAAAACAAATCCTTATTTTTAGAAAGAAGAGTAGCTTTGAGTTTCCTCCTGTTTGCCAGCTGTGCACCTGGCGAAGACTGAAACCAGGGAGTTTGGGGAAAGGGGGTCGGAGCCTTTGGGGCCCGGAAGCAAAGGCCAGGCTGAGAGGTCCCTGTCGTCCATCAGCTTATCAAAGGCTGCCGGTGGCTCATGCTGCAAATGGCTGGCGTGTGGCAGCATCTGAAGACAACTTATGTCAGAGGCTTCTTTTTTTTTTTTAATATTTTATTTATTTATCTTTAGAGGGGAAGGGAAGGAGAGGGAGAGATTTCCGCTGGTCTGGCATCGCAGGAGGCTTCTAAAAGACTTTGTTTTTTAAAGGAGGAAGTAAAATTTAAGATTGAATTATGATGTCATTGGTTTGTGTGTGAGTATGTTTCTTTAGATGGGCACGCCAACTGGTACTTCAAATAAAAATCTATGTGCAAATCAAGATAGCTTTTATTTATTACGTATACTTTTGTTTTAAGAAAGAGTTTATTTTAGGAGAGAAACTCATCGCAAGGCTGCCTTCGTCTTTTCTTTTCCTGGCGCCACCAGAAACCACACGCGGCACCTGGGAGGAGCGCGTGGCACCTGCGGAGGGCACCTTGAGGTTTCGATTCTGATTCCTTAATAGCAAGCGCCCACACCGGGCCTGCGCCTCCCCGAATGGGAAGGGAGAAGCGCAATCCCTGTTCCGAGAAATCTCCCGAGAACGGCATCGCACTGTTTCCATTTCCTCAGGTGCTTTCTGCTCCGGAAGCTCAGAGGCAGCCTCAAGGCCTATTGCTTTAGAGCGTTTGTTTCACCGGCTCCGTGGAAACGGATTGGCCTCCGTATTCTTGCTCCGCCCCCCTCCTCCCCCCCCCCCCCCCCCAGAGCACTTCCTATCCCAGGAAGGTCGATGAGATGGTGGAAATAGCTCTGGCCCCTCCAGACTGATAGTGAGCCTGAGAATTAGAAACTGGGCTTCCATCCAGGGACTCCGAGCCAACAGTGCATTTTAAAACGATCAGAAAACTGGACACTGGCCTTGGTGGGGGAAGGGGGGCATTTGATACAAGAATGGCTTTGTTTCCCAGGGAGCTGTGGTCTTTCCAGGTCACTGGGGGACTTGAGGCGGAGGATGCCAGTCCCGCCTTCCTGATGGAGCCGTTGCCTGTCCCTGCTCAGCCGGCCTCAGTGTGGGCGGTCTTTCCCACAGGCCTCTCCATCCTGTTCTGGGATGAATGTGGCCTTGGGCTGGCACTGTAGGATGGAAACATCTTACAGAGGAAGTCACGTGTGTTTCACCCTCCTGTTTGCCACTTGTTAGCTCTGTGACCTTGGGCAAGTCTTTGGGGTTCTCTAAAGCCTCCTTCCCTTGTCTCTAAATTGTAATACTGTGTAGACTTCTGAGGATTAAGATTTCAAATGTAGACTCATTTCAGTTCATCGGAAACCACCTACAGGGGAATTCAGGACTTCCCACGGCCTTAAACAAGGTGTTTTTTAACACCTCCCTTGACAGCTTGTTTGCACCCTCACTCCTGTGCAAGAAGTGAGAAGCGCTGGTGGCCAGGAGGGGTGCACACGGCTGGGTCTGGGCGCCTTCCCAATGCCTCAACATTCCAGAAGCCCCCCTATGCTACCGATTTCCCCTTTTGTTCTTCTCCTTCACCAAGGCCTTCCATGTCCCTCTTGTCCCTTTGGTGGTCCTTGCTGTATTTGTGCGTCAGAGGGAGCTGGCGGGGTGGGGGTGGGGGTGGGGCACTGGGTGGCTGAGCTTTGACTGCTGGGCCCCTGTTGAGACTCTCTGCTCCTCTTCTGCGATGACAGTCCACATGCTTACTCTGGGGGGGCCTGGAGCTCAAGGCGCAGTCATTCTGCTCTGCAGGACAGCAGCTTCCTCCCTGGGCTCTGGTTGTTCTGAGTCAGGACCTCAGGTGTTGGGAAATAATGAGTGCCTTCACCCCATTAGGAAAGCCGTGGGGGGCGGGTGGGCAGGGGACAAGGAGGCTGTGGTGTGGACGAGGAGGAAGCTCTCCCACGCAGGCCTGGGGAAATCCTCTTAAGTGATCCTCTTTCTTATCCCAGCGCCCCAAGGCATTTTATATCCGGTCTTGGAACCTTGGAAGATTAGTTACAGCCTGGTCCCGATAAGCTAAAGGTAGCAGGTTCAAGCCCCGGTCAGGGCGTGTACAGGCATCGACCAACGAATGCATAAATAAGCGGAACAACGTATTGATGTCTCTGTCCCGTGCACGCTTTCTCCCCGCCCCCCTCTCTCTACAATCAATCAATAAAAAATTAACCTAGCACGTTCAGGAGCCAACACCCTGGCCTCTGTGACCGGCGAGAATGGTACTGGGATCGGCATCTGAGACTGGCAGGTGCACGTGGGTTTCTCATCCGTGTCTACTCCCCGGGCCTGGGGGCTGCAAAGGAAGGCATCTCAGGCCCTGGGAGTTTTGAAGCAGCAGGAAACATGGCGGGAGCCAAACACACTCCCGGGCGGAGGCGCTGAGAAGGCAATGCATAGACTCTGGGCTGGGGCCGTCCCAGGAACCTGAGTATGGGCAGAAGCACAGACCTTTGTGGCGAGGCTCCCATGATGGGTAAGGACTGTGGGAAAGTGGGACGGGAAGGGCCTAAAACCTGTGAGGAGTGCCAACCTTAGGGGCGATTTGGGTTCTCCAAAGTTCCAGGGGAAAGTTGCTCCCCGAGTAAGCCCCCTCACCTGGCCCGGTTTGCCCATCCCACCTCATTTGCTGTCACTCTGTGCCAGGCTTCCCACCCAGGCAAGGCCACTCTGGGAACGTGATTTGAGTCTTCGAGTGTTACGTTTTGGGTGCCATAGGTTCTTTGAAGAGGGCCTCCTTCCGTGAACCCCCAAGGAAGGGTGCTTCCCTTGCAGAATGTTGCAGAGAAAAAGACCCGGAAGGACCCCTCTCATGCCGGGGACAACCTGGGTGCCACTGGGCTGTGGACCACATGAGTCGGGTGGCCGTGGGTCTTGCTTTTGTGGCCCTCTGGGCTGGGTGACGCCACAGGGGGAGGAGCCTGCCGGCTGGAGCCAGAGCAGGCAACCAGAGCCGTCGGCCGCCTTCATGAGCTGGGAAAACGGAATCACACAGGGGCAGAGAACCCTGGGTCCCCAAAGCTCTTGGGCCCTTCCTGTGTGTCTGTGGGAATAAAAGGGTAGCACGAATTTGTTGGAGTAACAACCCTAACATTTATTCTCCTGTGGGGAGTCGGAGGGATAAGGTGTCGATGTACTGTCTCTCTTGTAGTGGCGTCTTAAGGAAGACAGGGCCACCGTTCCTGATGTGAGTCCAGGCTCCTGGTGAGTCACCAGCTGAAAGTGCGAGTCTCGTCACCCTAAAGAACTGGTGTCTGGTCCCCTCCAACCTGTGTGTGCCAGGAAACCCTCCCCCCAACGACCAGAGAAGCTCTCACGCTCCTTATGTTAACTCTGATGTGCTGTAGGGGAGAGGGGAGTATGCAAAGCAGGGTTGGGCGGGAAGGCTCCGGGGCTCACAGCCTGGCTGGGGGCGGGGTGTGTCAGGTCAGATGTCCCCCCTACCCCCCAGCGCTCGCACTTTCCCTCCTCCCCTCCCTCCCTGTCCCAGGACACCAGTCACTGACTGGGCCAGTTCTGCCCCAGAGTTCAGAGGCATCAGTCCAAGGTAGAACTGCAAAAGTATGGACACAAAACACCAAACAATTTGGGGGTGGGGTCCCAGCTGGTGTGGTGAGAGATGGTCCTGTGTCCAGGGCCATTTCCAGTTCTGAGCAGCAGAGGGCACTGGGGTCTCTGGGGGCAGCTCAGTGTTGGGGGGTGTTTCTGGCTCTGAGCAGCAGAGGGCGCTGGGGTCTCTGGGGCAGCTCAGTGTCAGGGAAGCGCTTCACCTCTTCTCCCTAGAGTGGCAGGGGGCGCCCAGGTGCGGGGGTGGAGCTTTTGGGCAGCCAGGGGCAGAGCTCACATGGAGACTGGAGAGTGATCGGCAGTTTCATTAAAGCAAAGTTAGAGCTGCCTCTAGTGCCTCCGGAAGGAGCAGGGAGGGAGGGACCTCTAGGAAAGGGCTGGGGACCCAAGTGTTCAGCGTGGAGCACAGCTCACTCTGCTGCGTCCTCAGACACTTCCTCACCCTGCACCTCTGGCCAACTGCAGATGGGGACCCAGATTTGTGCTTGATCGGGGGCGGGGGGGGGGGCTTTGGAGCAGGGCAGTAGCAGAGGCACTCTCGGGCTGTCCTGGAGGCTGCCGGTCCTGGGGTCCTCTGCAAAGTACCCACGTTGTCTGGAGAGCCAGGACGTGTGGTGGCCCCAGTCCCCCGCCCCCCTGCCGGCGGTGGGGAATCCTCAGACGTGAGTCTGCATCCGCCGCTGCAGGGGTCGGCTGGGGTCGGAGTTCTGGGAAGAGGACTGGGAGTGGTGGGAAGAGGAGGCAGAGGCCTTGCTGGCCTTGTCGAACTGCACGTAGCCGTCCTGCTTGCCACTGCTGCTGACGCTGCTGTCACACTGCGTGTCCAGGAAGGAGCTGCTGTCGCTGAGGGAGCCCCTCTGGAACTCTCGCTCACAGAGCTCAATGGATGAGCTGCCCATGCCCAGCACGAACCTCTGGCCGTAGTCATAGAGACGGCCCTGGCCGCTCAGGGTGCTGTAGATGTTGGTGAAGGACATGCCCGTGGGCACCCGCTGCTTGCCTGCAGGGCGCAGGTCTGGCTGACAGCTGGACAGCGAGATGGTAGGGGTTGAATGGTGCTCCTTGAAGGTGTTGACACTGTAGTAGCCATTGGTGGGGTCCTGGGGTGGGGGACAAGAGCAAGAGCAGCGTCACCGGGCGGGGCAAAGGCGGCACTGAACTTTCTATGTGGAACCGGTCCTAACTCACACAGGCGGGGATGAGGAGAGGCGAGAGGGGGGACTGCAGCGCAGAAATGGGTGAGGGGAGCGTCTGGAAGGGTTACCCTGGTGGGGACAGCAAGGTGTCAGGTATTCAGGTGGCAGCTGGGAGGGGAGGGCACCCAAAGGAGGGAAGCGGGGGCCTCTCGTGGGTGTGTTTAGTTATCAGCACAATGCGAGGTCATTTGAGAACCAAATTGCGTTCATTGTTTTTGCCCAGGACACAGATACTTCGTTTTCAAGTTTATCTGTGAAAAGGCTGTGGGCCAGGAGCCTGTGGGAGCTCAGCCCCAACTCCATGGCTCCTTAGTGTGGGGGCGAGGCAGCAGGTGCGTTTGCAGGGCAGGGACCCACTTGAGGGAGAGGCTAGGCACCCGTCCCCATGGTGTCCCCTGGCCTCTCTCTCCTATTTGCTGCTGTTGTTTGTCTGGACACAGGCAGGGCTCGGGCCCTCGGAGCTGAAGAGCAGAATCACATCGGGTCCTGCAGCTGGTGGCCACGCCTACCTTCAGGTTCTGAAACTCCTTCTCCTCTTCTTTGAGGACCTCCAGCTGCTTGAGGACTGAGTCTTGTTGGAATTCACCCCGGTCCATCTGCAACCCAAGAATGGCTGCTCAGAGGGCAGGAGGTGGGCTAAACGCCCACTTCCCCCAAGGAAAAGTAGGAGAAACCAACTCGAAAGGAGCTTGCCATCTCTGCCTCCCCTCCCCCCACCTCCCATGGCCGGGCCCGCAGGAGGCAGGAGATTTCAGATCTCGTGTTGCTCCCGGACCTCTTCGGACCTCTTCGGACCTCTTCGGAGAGACAGAGGGAGACAGGGAAGCGGGGTGGGTGGGTGAGAGGCAGGACCCTGAGATCCAACTTACTCCCCTCGGGCTAGGGGACCACCTACACAGCTCTCAATTGACTGATTCAATTAGATTCCTTGACCATTTACTGTGGTGGTCCCCAACCTTTCTGGCACCAGGGACCAGTTTTGTGGAAGACAATTTTTCCACAGACCGGGATCGGGGGAGGGTGGTTTCAAGATGATTCGAGCCCATTACATTCAAGCTCACCTCCTGCTGGGCGGGTGGGTTCCTAACAGGCCTGAGCAGACCGTTGCTGGCCCTCGGCCCTGCGGTTGGGGCCCCTGATTTACTGAATTTCAGGTTGGGCACCCCACTGCCCTACGGGCCAGGCATATGCACATCGAGATACAGCTGTTCCCATCAGGGCAGTGCATCTGTTGATAAATGACTGCAGAACCTTGACCACTGGGCAGAGGGTGGGGCCCTGGCAGAGAGCACGTCATCCAGCGCCTGGCTCAGTGAAGGGTTACGAAGGAGTGGCAGGGAACCATGGGGACCCTGGGCTGCAGGACAATGACTGAGATGTCCTGGTCTTCCTTAACAGGGACCGAGAGCTCCAGGGAAGGGTCACTTCTTGTTTTTCTTCGGGTCCACAGCACACCGGGTGCAGCGCCTGAGTGCTGTGGCCACCGATCAAAGAGCCTTTCAGGATGGAATATTTAATAGTTTTTTAAAATTAATTCTTTGATGCCCTAGTGCACTGCCAGGTCTACACGCAGTTAGTGTGGTTACAAAAGCTACCACTGTGTTGGGCGAACGCATGAAGCGATGCAGCTCTAAATTCCTGAGAATTAAGATAACGACTAAACGAGGTAAAAAATAAAGCACGCCCGGCACACAGTGGGGGTATTCATTAGTCCAAACACTCGCAGGGCGCTGCCCTGCGGCCTGCAGCTGCTTCCCACGGGTCCTTTCTGCACATGGCATGACCCAGGCCAGATTCCTGCCCACTCTCTGAGCTGAGCTGTGACGATGCTTGTCCCTTGTGACTTGCTTTCCTGGGGCCCCACGGCATCAGCCAGAGTACTTCCACCCTGTCCCCTCTGTGCTGACACTGCTTTTGTCATTCCCCAGGAAGTGCCCTGGGTCTGTCCAGGTTCCACTGCCATGCCCGGCTCTCCTCTTCGGGGGGCTGAAGCGGGACTGGGGTGCAAGGCAGTGGGGAAATGACAGGCTCCCCAGGGGAGGCTTAGCCACGGAGCCCTCAGCAGGTCCCTCTGCGGAGCTGTCCTCCCCTGCCCCTTACCTGACTACTGAGCAACCCCCCTGCTTTTCCTGAGGGTTTGGACTGGGGGGGGGGGGCGGTGTGGAGATGGGCTGAGACAGCCAGATGTTCCAGCGGGAAGGAATGCAGGCCCCATTTGGGACAAAGGACAGGCTGGGAACCGCCACACGGACTTGTTGAAGTTCATCTGCATTGTTCCCTCTCAGGTCTGGGCTGTGGTCTCCATCCTGGGAAGACTAAATGCCGTACTGTGTCCCCCCTTAGGTTAGCCCTGGGGAAATACTCTCGCATAGATTCAGGAGCCCGACCTTTGCCCCGGGGGACTCTGGGGGAACTGGGGAGGCTGACAAGTAACTCGAGCGAGGCGCTGTGAGGGAGAAATGTGCGATGTTTGGGAAGAGCATGGGAAATCACGGAGGAGGTGACATTTGAGCGCATTCTTACAGAAAATGAAATTCAACGGACAGATTCAACAGGCAGAGGGCACCGGTGCAAAGCCTCCGAGGTCGGGAAGACCCAAAGGCTGGGAACTGCAATTCCGTGGGGTGTCTGCGGGACCCCGGGCATTCCGCAGGAAGGTGAAGTGGGAAAGGCTGGTGGGTGCTGACACGTCTGGTCATGGACTTGGCCCAGCAGCCACGGGGAGCCCCTGGGGATCATGTGTAGCCACAGGGTCAGATCTGTGTTTTAGAACTGAGGCAGGATCATAAGAGTCTAGGAAAATTCCTGAGCAAGTGGAATGAAGAGACTGAGACAAGATAATTAAATAAGGCCAAATAATTTGAACAACTTACAGCCAGCTAGGGTATTGCAAGACCTTATCTTCCCCAACCAAGGACACTTGAGAGTAAATGGTTTATACCTCTCCTCCTTAAATCACCCTGGTCGGGGAGATAGAGAACAGAGACCCAATTAATGTCATTTATGCCAGCTGACCCCAAGGACAGCTGAAGTCAAGGGGACAAATAACAAAAACCTGATTAGAGTCAGACCCAAGATAAAAGGAAAACAGTAAAGCAGAGCGAAGGATAACTCCAACCCCCCTATGCACTCATTTTCGAGGCATCGGCGTGTTTAAAATGCACCTGGAAAGCTGATGCACAGTCTGCTGAGACCCTCCCCTAAGACGCTCCCCCACAGAGGAAAGGTAACCCTCCAGACCATGATGTCAGTGCAGGCTCTCTCTGGATGCCCTGCTTGGGTGTGGACCTTTTACTTCCTCCTGAACGCTAAGGGTCCCAGGGAGACTTGCAGCCCGGGGAGCAGTGGGCAGCAGCAGCTCATCCTGGGTTTATCCCTGAACCCGTGTCCAAGGACCCCTTTTCTCTGACTTCTCCCAGTGAGCTGACAGCAGCCCTGCCTTGGCTCACTTTTTCCTATAACGTTTCTAGAATAGAAATATTACAGGAGGGAGCCCAAAGCAGAGCACCGCCTGGGCTCTCTCCTGTTGCCTCTTCTACCCTAAGCCCTCCCTTTGTCTCACTGTCCCCAGCTTTAATAAACATGCTCTCAAAACCACCTGGACTCATGTTGTGAAATCTTTCCTACATGAAGTCAAGAACCCATGCACTACAGGCTGGCCTGAGGCAGACCGGCTCGGGGCCGGTCCCTGTCTGGGGACAGAAGGACCCTTTTTGGGGGGCACCGAGTACAGTGGTGAGAAAACAGAATGGTGAGACCCCTGAGGAGTCTGCTGGGACTGTCCGGGGAGCCATGGCAAGGCCCGGGCCAGCAGCCTCACAGTGGGGCACAGGCAAGGGCACCAGTTGGAGGGATCTTTTGAAGTGGAATCGACAGCACCTGAAACATCAGTTGGACAGAAAAAGAGCGGCTGAGGGAACAGTCAGCTTAGTGCTCTAAGTTTTGGTGGGCGTCCGCCAGGGACTGGGGGGCTCTGGGACAGACGAGGACACGGGGGATTTGTGAGCAGCAAATCGGAGTCTGCAGAGCTCACGGCGCTTCACAGGCTGTTTGGGGTTTGCCAGCTGGCCCTCCACCTGGCCTGTGCGCTTCCCCCCGGACCCCTGTTCCCCAGAGGAGGAGACAGAGGCACAGGGCGGCCCATGCCCCCACGTACCACCGCCGGAGTTTCCTAGCAGCGTTTCAGCCTTCTGTCTGCACAGCCGGCCGAAAGAGCAGGAGAAGCGATGATTTGCTTACAGTGAGCGAGTCAGTCCTGGAAGAGGAACCTATGACTCTTGCAGATTCTTGGGGGGACGTTGGGACATGGGGTACACACTGAATAAGTGCAATATCGATGGGTATGGGTGTAATAGTATTGCTACTGATGCGTGTCTTCTCTCCCTCCCGAAAGGTCAGGCTCTCTGAAAGCTGGGCTGCATTTCGGAGTCTTCGAGTCTCCAGGACGCCATGCGCAACACAGCAGACACACGGGCCGGGGGGGGGTGTCTTTGCAGGTTGAAAGCAGGGCCCTGGCCTGGGGTGGGGGAAGGGCTGTCCTGCTGATGCTCCGCTTCACGGGAGCCTCTAGGGCCCCAGGAGGCTTCCAGCCAGGACCCTCAGAGCACGGAGGGTGGGTGGGGTGGGGGAAGACAGCGTTCTCACCATCAGCTGCTTGATGGTGGGGTGCTCCTCCGCCTCCCGGCCAGAGGCAGGCTCCTTGTGGACAATCTCCACGCGGATATCATTCTTGGCTGACACAACACCTTTGAGATCTGGACATAAAATAGGGACGTGTAGGTGACGGATCCAGTCTGCGTGCTCAGGCACTAGGGTCTGCCACCACCCCCGTCACCCCCAGAATTTAGCCTCTAGCCCCTGAACCCTGCAGCCTGCTGCCCCACCAACACAACAGCGGTCTGGACACTCCGTGCGCTCTGGGTGACAGGCACCCCAGCCTGCCGCTGCCACGCCCATGGTTTAAGAGGTTATCCTCATGCATTTGTCCACCTTACAGAGCCGGGTCCTTCCACGCTACTACATCTTAGCTTCCTTCTAGAAGTCTTCCCTGACCTGCCGTACAGGCTCTGATCTCTCCATCCAGAGAATTGCAAATCTGACCTTTAAAAAGGCTCTCAGTGGGCAGCCTCCCACCCAAAGCCTAAACCTTCCCGGCATGGTGGTTGTGGGGGGGTCGGGGGAGCAGCCCCTGTATCGGCACCTCCGTGATGGAGACTGCACCATGCCTAGAGGAGGCGGCCACTTTGGACTTGGAGAGTCGTTAGAGAATTCCGGCTAAGATCCACTCCCTACGGTTTTCACGGAGAGGGTGGTGAGGGACGCCCCGAGACCACATGGCCGGGGAAGATGAGGCCACTTAGCTTCGAGTGGAGCAGATGCAAGGGGGACCCCCAGCTTTCTCCTGTACTGAGGGCTGCCCCATGGGGGAGGGGCAGGCTGGCTCTGATTATTCCTCCTGTGCCTCACGCTCACAGTGCAGAAAGTTGGAGCTGCGTGGGGTTGCAGAAGTCCTGCCCTCCTGCCCTTGCTCTTACACAGGAGGAACCTGAGGCGGGTGGTTGCCGCCCGCCCAAGCTCGCGCGTGGAAGGACTGGGGCCGAGGGCTGTGCCCCCGTTGTTCTCACTCCGCTCCGCTGTTCCTTTCACGAGTCTGCGTGTGTCTACCACACCTCCCATCGGCGCTATGGCCAGGACGGAAACTCTAGGTGTGTGTAACCTTCATGAGCTCATAAACACTAGGATTTTATTGCTAATGACTAAAGACCTTTAAAAGTCTGCACAGAGTGATTCCTTGAATGCTCTTTTTTGTTTTTGATACATGGGTAACCTGCTTTTCTGGTTGGACTCCCGGGTGTTTGAGGGGAAGGATGGACACTCCCCCCCGAGATTTCTGCAGAGTTCTATACGGCTGGCTACCGGTGTTCAGCCCAAAGTGCTGGCTGACTGCCCTGCTGGCTGAAGTCGCCCTCGGCTGAGCGCCCATACTGTGGGCCAGACACTGCCCAGCCCCGCCCAGACAGAGGTACCTGCGACCCGGCCGGGGCAGCAGCTCAGCGCACCTGCAGGCCCTGCTCCCCGCAACTCCCCCCCCGCCCCGTGAGCTCCCTCTCTGGGCAGTCTAGGCCTGGCCCTTTCTCTGCCCCCTCCCTGAGACCCCCGGGCTCCCTCCCATACTTCTCTGGGAGCGGGCGCAGCAGAAGGCCACAATGGTTGCCATGAGGACGAGGAAGGCCACACCGGCACCCACGGCCACCCCAATGATGACGGCCATCGGCACAGACTCTGTGGGAGAGAAGCAGGCACAGCTGACCCAGCGTCCGAGGGCCTGCTCTCCCCCAGGGCCTCCCCCTTTCCCGCTGGTGTGGCCTCTGCCAAGCTGGGGTCGGAGCCCTGCCCTCAGGCCCCTTGGAGAAGCCTGTGGGGGCGCTGGGCAGGCACAGGCAGAGTCCGACGGGGTCGGCTCGGGTGGGACAGGGTGGGAAGAGGGTGGGAGGCCGATGCCCACTGGTGGTGGTGGGAAGGGAGGCAGGTCAACCCAGCAGGGGTTGGGGTCAGGGCGGGGGCGGGAACAAGGCGAGGAGAGGCCGGGCCGGATGCAGCTCTCTTGGGTGTTAAACCAGGAAGAGTGTATCAGGCAGTGGCTGAGAGTCCTAAGTCCTGGCTTTCCTTCCCCTGTGGCCACCGCCCTGTGTGTTTGGTTTGTGTTGGCCTTCTCTTCCCTTTCCCAGGTGCAGGCGGCAGGGCCTGGACAGTCAGCTTTGAGGTTCTTGGGGGCCCCCTGGGTACCAGACGCTGCAGGTGCTGGCGGCCCAGGTCTCAGGGACCAGGGGAGCAGGATCAAAGGTCAGGGTCCTCTTTAAAGAGAGATGCCCCCTTTTCTTACCCCACCCCGCCCCAGTCCTGCTCCTTCCTCTCGAGGCCAGAACTCTGGGCATCCAGGCAGGCTTTTTCGAGGGGCCCAGAACTACAGCCAGGCAAAGCCGCGCTCCTCGCTGAGTGTCTGTGGTCTGTGGCTGCCCAGCCCAGTAGGGATGGGGATGGGAGGGTGATGTTGGGGTGCGGGAGGGGCTGCCCTCCTGGACAGCCCTGGCCTCTCTGTGGCTGCACATGGTGGGCCTGAGCACGTGGTTTGGGGCTTGGCTAGTCCATCCGGAACAGAACTCGAGAACACAGTAGCACAGAGACCGGAGGGCCACTGGGCCCACAGCCTTCACTCACAGCTGGAAATGCTGAGGTCCAGAGAAGTCAAGTGACTTGGTTAAGGACGCACAGTTTCAGCAGAGGCAGGGCAAATCTAGGTCCCCTCACACCCCCCCCCCCGCCACCCACTGTGGTGCTGTCCAGCTCCACCCCCCCCCCCCCCAGATTCCACCTCTTCTGAGCCATTCTTCACTTCTGTCACCCCTGGGGTGGGAAGAGGCAGGGCCCACCCTGGCTGTGGTGTGAGGGGTAGGAGGGGCAGGGAATGGCCTTGGAGCTCAGCCTGGCACCCGCCCCACTCAGTCTCTGCTGCTGCTTCTAGGTAAAGGGAGCAGGAGCTCCCGTCCGAGCCACATTCCTCAGTGTGGGCCACATCTAGGTGCTGGGCTTGTCCTGGAAGGAGAAGGTGCCTGCGGTTGACAGTGTCAGTGGCTAGGCTGGCAGCTTTCTCCCAGCCCGGGGCCTGCCTGCCGGTGGCTGACACTTAGAGTGGCAGGGGTGGGGGTGGGTGGGGAGCAGGTGGGTGCAGCCGCCGCCCAGGGACGGCAGATGGAGGCCCTTTAGTGGGTCTCAGCAGCCGGGAGTGAAGGGACTGGACTCCTGCTTCGTGACCCTGCTGTGACGGAGCGCTGCTTCTGTCTCCAGTTTCAATGCCATCAGAAACGGGAAACTGCTTTGGAAGCTCATTGGCTCTAGGCTCTTGAATTTTATTAATTTGGGTTTGATTTCGGTTCTCCTCGGGTTCCCAGTAAGTCTCCTGGGAGAACCCGGTCTCATCTCAGCTGACCTCAGATGGCCGTGGGGGGCTCTCAGCTTCTCTGGGCGCCCCCCTCAGTGTCTCACGGGACAACCAGAGGACTGAGGAACTGAGGAGGCGGTATCCGCCCCTGGCCTCCCGTGACTCCGTGTCCCTGAGATGTCGACAGCTGGGGGGCACCATCTTATCTGCAGCAGGTGAGTGGGGGCGGGAGAGGGTCTGCTGGGGACCCGGACCCCTGGGGGGCCTGCCCCCTCCCCAGATCTGGCCTGTGCCTGCAGGCCAGCAGTCCTCTCGGGGAGAGAGCACGCTCAGCGGTCCCCCAGCGAGAGAGGGACCGGAGGGGGGCGCTGTCCACAGGTTCGTCCTCCTCTCTGTCCAAGAAGGTGGACTGGGCACGAGGAGTCTCAGACGGCCAGGGATCAGGGGCCTCCGGGTACGTGTGGCCAGACACGCATGAGGTGGAAGCAGGCAGGAGACGCTGTCCCCAGCCCCAGGAGGGGCCCTGCGGGACCTTGGGGACAGGGCAGCAGGAGGCTGGTCACGGTTGTTTCTGAGACATGCTTGCACCCCCTGAAGCGCGCTGAAGAAGCGGACCGGCCCTAGCTCCTTCCGAGCCAGTGTGGCAGGAGGACTAGGGCAGAGGAATGCCCCCTCCATCTTCCACGTGTCCTCCGTCAGCGCTGTGGCCTCAGGTTTTGCAATGACCCTATTCTCTCATCTGGGTTTCTGCTTGGAGAGTGGGGGCAACTGTCTCTTGTGGGGCCCAAGACAGAGCAGCTGAGCCCCGGGAATGTGAGGACCACTAGGCTGCCAGGCACCCCAGGGAAGGGAGGCACTGCCCGTAGCCTCAGCTGGTGGTGGGATGGCAGTGCCCTGGAAGCAGGGGGGCGGGGAGGCGGGGGGAGGAGGCAGCCATGAGAAAGCATGGATTGGTATGGATTGATCATGCAGGCCACAGCTGGGGCTGGAGGCCTGACCCAGGAAGCTATCGCCAAGCTGGTGATGATGTTGAGAAGCTGGAAGAGTCAGGAGGAAATAGAGGGAGGCCAGGCTGAGGGCAGCTGCCCCAGAGGGGAGGAGCCAGGGCCTGGAAGGGAAGGAATGAGGGGAACAGAGCAGGGGAAACCGGAGCCGGGTCCCTGGCTGCAAGAAGCCTGCAGGCTCTGGCGGCAGTGAGGTGGGAGACAGGCTTGGGCCTCGACCCAGGCGGCTGGGAAGCCCTGGGCCTGCTGCTCTGACTGCACTGAGCCCGCAGACTGGGGAGGGCGGAGAAGTTAGCGGCCTGCACGGGCCTCCCTTCCCCCTCTGCAGGGCCCTCCCCCGCTAGCCCTGCGGTCCCTTCCCCCCACCCAGGGAGTTCTCGTGTCTCCTTCCGTACCTGCTTCCAGCCCGGCTCCCGACTTCATTTCCGAACCTGTTTGGGAATAAAGCAAGCGTCCACAGCCAGGGCCTGGCTGGCCAGGGTGGGGCGGGCCTGGGGTGGGGATGCTCCCTTCTCAGTCCCGTCTCAGGACTGCCCACTAGACCTAGTCTATGCCAACTGAGCTCGGAGAGGTTCAGAGACTCCAGGGGCAAGGGACCGGAGGGAGCAGGCAGGCCGGGGTGGGAGGGTCTGGAGGTAGGGGGGGAGAGAGGGCTGAGAGGCGAGCATGGGAGGTCAGGGCACCACGGGGAAGACATGGAGGGGAGCAGGGGGGGGACTGGAGGTTTGGGATGATGTGTGGATGATTTTATGCAAATTATGTGCAAAGCATTATGCGAAGCAGCACCTATTAGGAAAGAGGTGTTGGGAGACCCTGCGTGGTCCCTGGGGTGGCCTTGAGGCCTGAGGGCCTAGCGGGGACCACCTGCTTGGCCCAGAGGCTTTGCCAGGGCCTGACAGCCTGTGGGCAGCCTTCATTTTGGAGGGGTCAGGGAGTGCTCGGGCTGAGGCCCCCCAGAGAACCCTGGCAAAAGAGCGAGGCTTGCGGCCCCTCTTAGGATCCGGTGTGCTGCCGGGGCCTGAGCTTCTCTGGACCCCACTCTGTGCACCCCCAGGCTCCCTGCCCTCTGGTCTGTGTGAGACATTTCAGTAGGGACTGGAGGTCATGACCATGGGCTGGGCAGCCTGCGCCCGGGGGTCACTGTGGGATGAGCCTTCCCCTCGCTCCTCCTCCCCTGCCCTTCCTTCTCCACTCCGAGCCCTCTGCCTAAAGCAGACACCTGCACCATGTGTCTCCCCTGTCCCGGGGAGACACTACAGAGGGTCTGAGCCTGCCCCCACCCATCCCCAGTGGTTGGGGCAGCTCAGGAGCTTCCCTTTAGCTCGGCTTGGGTGCCTCTGGGAGGCTTCTGTCTGTCTGGACTGGCTGGCTGTGTTAACTGGCTCAGCCATGTTCCCCAGCAGGTCCGTCCTAGGGGGTCCCTGTGTCCCGCCCAGGGCCCCGGCTGCCTCTCCACGGATCACCCACCCCTGAGGGCACTGTGGTCAGACCAGGGCACCCCAGGGAAATGCTGAGTGCAGACAAGCCAGGGCCTTCAGAAGGTGTGGGCCTCTCATGGCAATGCACTTGGCTTGCTCCTGTGGCCCCTTCTTCTGAAACATCACCTTGAAGGCCAGCTCCCCAAGCAGCTTTCTAACTCTCTCCCTTCCTGGTGCCTCATAGCACCCCTGGCCTCAGGGTGCTGGGACAAGGAGGGCCACTTCCCAGACCTGCCCAAGGCTGCCTGGCTAGTGACAAGAGCACTGTGACCTGTCCTGGGGCCCCACCCAACCTGGAGCCTTCACTAGGCATGCTGCCCCCTCAGGACCCCAGAAGAACTTGCCTGGGGCCCCTCCCTGCCCAGGGCAGGGCCCCACCTTGCTCCTTCAGCCGGATGATCTCGGTGTCGGAGCCGAAGCTGTTCCAGGCGGTGCAGTTGTAGATGGTCTGGAAGTCGGCCCGCACGATGTTGCTGATGGTCAGGGTGGAGATGACGCCCTCCTCTGTGCTGACCGTCTCCACCGTGTAGCGTCCCGACGTCCCCGACTCCAGCACGTTCTCCTTCCACGACCACGCCTGCCCGGGGGGCCAGAGTTAGGAGGAGACCCCACCTCGGCCACCCACACGGGGGCCACCGTGCTGCCTCCCACCCAGGGCTGCCGCTGCCAGGCTTCCCACGCTCACTGGTACACTCACAGACACCAGCACAGGTGCATGCACACGCAGGGTCACACGCATCCCAGCACACACCCAAACTGCATGCCCACACCATGCCTGTCACACCACAAACACGTACAGCCACACGTGTACATGCATCCCAACGCACCACAAATATACACACTCCACACACAAAAACATGCCACAACCCGTGCACACAGCACGCCACTTCACAAAATGCCAGCACTGTGTGCACATGTACACACACACCACACCATGCACACGCACACACACCACACCACCTATACATGAGACCACCCACATGGGTACACCACACCACGTGTACACACGCCACACCACCTGCCCATGAATACCACCCACACGTACACACACACACCGCACCACGTGTACACACACACACCACACCACCCGCATACACACAGAGGCTGCGCCCCCTCAGAGGGCATTTCCTTGGTGAGAAGGGGCCCTCAGGTGGTTCTGCATGGGAGCATCTTTCCAGACAAGCAGGAGACCCTGTGCCAGTGAGCACCCCTCACCCCCTGCACCAGCTGGCCTGCATCAGTGTCTCTCCCGGACACTCCTGCCAGCTGGGCGCTGGAGGCAGAGGACTAGCCCAGAGTGGCTGCCTCCAGTCTTGTTGCTGTTCTGTCTTGTCCGTACAAAGGTACGTTCCGAGAGTTGTTTGTAACCGCCTGGGTGGGTGTCCCCCCAGAGCTGGTTCCCAGGAGCTGGAGGCCCCTTGCACACTGCGAAGGCAGGACGAGGCCGTGGCTGCCCCGACTCAGCACTTCTGACGCTCCTCGGGCAGGCTGTGCTGGGCCTCGGAGGGTGTGCAGCAGCACCGGGCAACCCCAGGGCTGCCCAGTGTCCCCCTTTCCTGGTTTTCACGTCTGGCTTCCACCAGCTCCAGGTGGCTGGGGCCGGAGGCTCCCTCCACAGACGCGATGCCTCGGACGGTTCAGTGTGAGCCATCAGGGTGCCTGGGCTGCGCTGCCTGGAGACCAGCGTCCCAAGCAAAGGACGGGGACGGAATGGCATTTTTGGAGGGAAAAACTTGATTACGCTTGATGAGTGCGGCAGCCTACATCCTCCGTGGACGGAGGCCTGGTGGGGGTGCTCTGGGAGGCACAGAAAGGGGCTTGCCCACTATAAACTGTACCCTAAGTAGGATTTTGCCAAGCTCCATCTGGCCTTGAACCCAGGGAAGTGAAGAAATCATGTACTTTTCTTTTCCTTCCGCTCCCCTCACTTGCTCCTCTGCTCTCGGGATGCAGGATTCTGTTACACTCAATGCTAGGGCCCAGTTCAACGGCAGAGACGCATTAAAAACACTAGCAGACAGCCCTGGCTGGGTGGCCCAGTTGGTCGGAGCGTCACGCCATGCACCAAAACGTTGCAGGTTTGATTCTCAGCCGGTGCATATGCCTAGATTGAGGGTTCGATCCCCAGTCGGGGTGCATCCGACGGACCCAATCCATGTTTCTCACATCAGATGTTTTCTCTCTTTCTCCCCTCCTTTCTGTCTCAAAGCACTAAACATATCCTTGGGTGAAAATTAAAAAATATACTTGCAGACCAACCCTGGCATATAGCCTGCTCTGAAAAAGGAGACGGCTTGTGATTTTTGTCTTTACGATGGCTTTCTGGAAAGCCAGTGGGAATCACTTCCCGGCAGAGGGAAGGAAGCCGGAGGTGTGCGCTGCCTCCCCGCAGCCCCGCAGCCCCGCAGCTGTGGGCAGAGACGCTGGTGCAGAGCCCCGTGGCCTCCCTGGGCACTCACTATGCGGTCGGGCGGTGGTGTGCTCCGGATGAAGCACTTGATCTGGCCCTTCTCGCCGTGGAGGGCGTGCTGGGTCTGGGTGCTGGAGATGATGGGGGGTCCTGTTGGGGAGACAGCATCTCGTCAAGGGTTCAGAAGGGCAGGTGCCCGGCTGGGCCCTCATGGGGGTGGGGCTCAGGAGCTTGCTCATTGCTTCAGTCACCCAGCAGGTATTTTCCGAAGGCGCGTGTGGACACGGTGAAGTGCAAGGTGTCAGCAGTGAACCTCTTAAGGGGTTTTGAGTGGGTGCTTCTAAGTCAGAATGCCCAGAAGACATTGTAGGGGTTCCGAAGGAGTCACCCCAATGTGTGCTCCTGTGGTGTGCGGATTATTTTGAGCTACAGGCAAGGGAGACCTGCAGGCTCAAGAGAAACTTCTACCTCCCCTTAACTGCCGAGGAGAATTTAAATTAAGGGCCTTGCCTATAATGAGACATTATCGGAGATAACATTTCCACCCGTCTAGATAGCAGGGCAAGCTACTAATTGCTGAGTACCTGCCTCACCGGTTAGTTCTAACCGCCCCTCTGCATTTCCGCGGTCCTCACCTTTATCCTTGGCTCAGAATTCCGTAAGCACCTCGTTTTACCTTTCTGTCCCTCTCAGGTGTGTGGAGGTCTCGAATGTGCGTGTGCATTTAAATGGGGCCATTTTCTCTTGTGAATCTGTCACAAATTCATTTGGTTATTCAACCGGCCAAAAGAACCTGAGCGGCGAGGGGGAGGGGTGGGGTGTTTGCCTTTCCCCACCCCAGGAAAGGTGACGAGTGTTGGGATCACAGGAACGGTCAGGGGAAAGGTTAACCGACTTCGGAGGAGAGAGAATAGTTCTATCTGGCGGGTAGGGGACGCTGTACGAAGGAGGGAGTCCACCCAAGAAGGGAGCAGAGAAGCCGACCGGGAGGAACTGGCGGGGCACCGCCGCCTCCGCCAACTGTTCCGTTTCCAGCCATGTTCTCTGATTACCAGTAGAGGGCGCGCTTGCCTAACAAACCCGGTGTCCCGGGCAAGGGCCGAACCTCGGGGAGCAGAGACCCGGTGCCAGGCTCCTCTCTCCCAGCGGAGGAATCAGCCTGAATCGGCGCGATGCGCTGGGCACGCTCAGATCTCCCACGCGTCTCAGGAGACCCCAGTGGGCCCAGGTGAGGCCAGGCCTCCAAAGCTGGCCCCAGCGTCTTCTCATCCAGTCTGTGCGTGTGCGTGTTGGCACCTGCGTGCGCACGCGTGCGCGCGTGTGCGACGCCTCAGGGTCCTGGTGTAGCTGTCTCAACACTAGCGAGTCTCCCTGAGGTCCAGCGGTGCTTCCGGTCTCCTCAGCCTTTTATCTGCCCTAAGTCTTTCCTGCCCGAGGCCCACCCGTCAGTGAAAGAGCAATGGAGGAGCGGCTAGTTCAGTCTTTTGTGCTGACAGCTTCCTGGCTGGGTGGGCATTGGAAGCAAGGGGTAAAGGCGTGGAGGCCCCTGTGCCTGCTTGTCATCCCTTGGGGCAAAGACCACGGCTTGGGTGGCAGGAAACAGGAGCAAGACAGGCAGAGAAAGGGATCTGAGGACAGGTAAAATTAGGCTGGGAACAAAACAAAAACCGCTGCAAACATAATTGCTGTTTATTAGCCACCTTAATTAAACCAGATTTGCATTTCTATGAGTAGCTCTCAGGCAAAGGGGGAAAACGCTATCGGGAGACACTCAAGTGGCTTTTTGAGTTCAGGAGGCAAATGCCTTGGAGCTGGGAGAGGCAGACATGGGGGACCCTGCGGATGGGGGTGTCCACACTCGGTTGGCTGCATGAGTGGGCTGAGCCCTCGAACGCAGTGAAGCATTTGGGCAAAAGGCAGGAGGGCTGGGTGGTTCAGGAATTTGATGGGGCTTTGTTCTGCCGCTGGGCTGGAAGTGATGAAACCAGAATACCTTTCCCCCTTCACTTCCCAGGAGCTAGGAAGCCCCTGGAGGATTCTCTGGCAAATGCCTCTGTGTTACAGAGCTTCTTAAAAGAAACCAGCAATCAGTATAGAGGTGGATGGGCTTGAGGGAGTCACAGGCAGCAGTAACACAGCTCACTTTCCCTTCCTGTGGGCTGGGGTTGAGCCAAAGCAGCCGACCTCTGTGCCCGCAGACCCCCGGAGGGCAATGGCCAACAGACCCTGCTGGGCAGGGATTTGTTTTGAAGACCAGCCCATCATCCTGGATCCATTCAGGATGGCCAGACCCCTCGGCCTAGTTTGGCCCCCTTGCGAAGGGCTGCACCATCCCCCCACCTGTCCTCCAGGTGCCCAGGTGGGCTGGCAAGCTCCTACCCCTGGGCCATCTATCCCACTCCCTGCCTCGGGTCAAGATGACCCTAGTTCAGCAGAAACGAACCGATTTCTCGCTTTACTCCCATCCCGTGGGCATTTTCTTGCTGGCAACCTTGGGAGCGTGTGTGGAAGGATTGGAGGCAGAAAAGGGGGATGGAAAGCAGGGGGATGGGAAGCCAGGTGCTGGAGGGAGCAGATTCAATCCCGGATAGATGCCAGGGCCCAGGCTGGGGTGTTCCCGTCTAAGAGAAATGTCCTCCCTCCAAGCTGTGCACCGCCCTGGCCGGGTGGCTCAGTGGGTTGGAGCATCCTCCTGCGCACCATCAGGCTGCCGGTTCAATTCCTTGTCAGGACACATGCCTCAGTTACAGATTTGATCCCCACTTGGGGGCATGTTTAGGAGAGAGCCTCTCTCTACCGCTCTCTCCCTCTCCTTCTCTCTGAAATCAATACAATCATATCGTTTGGTGAGGATTTTAAAAAAAGATATGACTTCCTGCCTCAAGAAACCACTTTAAATTTCTGCTGGGGAACTCCTGAATGTCTAAAGTGACAATGGAGTGTCAGTCCCTCCTTTATTCACCCTGGTTACCCTAGAAACAAGGCTGCTCCTTTACAAGCTTCAGACTTAGGGACCCTGGAGGCCATGTGTGAGTCTGAGGGTGCCCAGACTGGTGGGGCCTGGGGCCGGGTACCAGAGCCCACCGTGGTCATGGGCCAGCGCTGGCTGGTACCATCCCAGAACCGGCTGCGGGGGTGGCAGAGAGAGACTCAACTGCCTGGCTCCGCGGAGCTGAGAGTCAGACACCAGCGCGGCAGGAAAAGGCTGCAGCCCGTGTTGCCATGGATATGCGGAGGCTCGATCAGATGCTGTTATTTTTAGCCCTGCCGTGCCAATTTATCGGTGGCATCCTAGGGACACATAGGAAAGGCAGGAAGGCTCCTGAGTCAGGATTCTGCCCAGGACAGGTGGCCGGTGAGCCCTCAGGGGTCTGGGTAGGTAACCCCCACTCTCTGAGGCTGCCGCCACCCTTGGAGCGAAGACAGGGAAGGAAGCAGATGGAGGAGGCAGCTAATGGGGACAGCAGAGGGCGTGGCGAAGGGGGAACCATGCTGGTTCGTGTTCCAGCAAAGGGGAGCACAGGTGGGGCTTGCAGAGGGCAGCCTCCGGGGTGAAGAGGAGCCACCTGGGCACGTCTCTGGAACTCAGCTCCACGCCTCCCAGGGGCCCTGGCAGACTGCGGTGGGGCAGGGCTGGGAAGGGCCACGGGCAGGACAGAAGCGAAGTGGGACCCGGGAAACCCGGTGCGGGAAGGAAGCTTGGAAGTGGCAGAGGGACTTGGCCTTGGTGGTTCTCACCCTCTCAGACCAGCACGTCATCACAATCGGGACACTGAGTTTCTGTCCTGGTGCCCCAGCCTTCCTGGGTCTGACCTGCGCTGGGTCTCAGCTTCTCCAGGATCTTCGGGGTCCCATCAGCCTGGCCTGGCCCCAGCCCCATCCCCTAAAGGCTTCGTGTAATGGCCATGGAGGAGCCACACTGCATTCTCGGAGGGGGATGAGAACGCGCTCCCTCGGTGACGATTCCTTTTGTGTGTAATAGGACACCTTCCCTCCGCTCCAGGGGACCCCTGAACACTTGGCCTTGTGGGCATGGTGACAGGGGTTCCCAGCTGGGCGGCTCTAAAGCAATGGGAAGAGGCTGGAGTCCAGAGACGCTCCTTTCAATTCCCACCAGGGCCAAGGTCAAGGCTGAAGGGTGGGTATGGCCTTGCCTGGCCAGTGACCCTCTGACCCTTTTCTCCTGGCCAAGATAAAAATTCATCAGCTACCGCTTTGAGGCCTGAGACCCCTTAAAAAAATAAAGAAGAGGCGAGGTGGCCAGAAAAGTACCCAGGTCCTTCCTTAGGGTCAGCACTGGGCTCTAACACAGACTCAACGAGGCGGACCCACAGCTGGAGGTGACGGCAAGACCCAGAAGGGACAACGGTCCCTTGGGTCACTGCCTGGGACTGAGATGCCTTGGGTGGCTCTGCCTCCCTCCCACCTACCTCCTGCCCCAGCAGGAGTTGGGGGGCTTACCATTGACAGTCAGGGTCACCTCTCGCTCCCCGGCCCCCACCCGAGGCACCACCGCTCGGCACACGTACTTCCCAGCATCCTCCTGGCGGACGGCTTTGAGGGTCAGGGTCTTTTCATTGCTCAGGACCTGGGAGTTTGGGGAAGAATCAGACACAGAGTTGGGGCAGGCTCTCTGGGTCTTGCAGAGCCAGAGAGTCTGAGGGACAGGCCTGGTGGGAAGGGGCAGGTTTCCCGGTCCCCCGCAGAGCAGTGGCTGGAGTAGGAGGTCGATGTTCATCACAGAGCAGCCATGAGTGGGAGCTCCCACGGGCAGAGGAAGGGCCCGGGTGGCCAAAACGTTCCATTCTGCCGCAGTCCTGGGGGTGGGTGCCGGGAGGAGGGGAGGACTCCCTGGCTGAGCCCAAGGCGTTCTCCTATGGGGAGGGGCTGCCCACCAGCCGGGCCCAGGCTGGCCCAGTGACATGACCCTACCGCTGAACTTTGAGGGGTCCCAGACCTGCCTTCAGAGTCCTTTCCAGCATCCCTTTGGGATGTGGTCTGGGGTGAAGAAAAGAAAACGGACTGTGGCTTCGGGGAGTTCCGAGGCAGAGTCCTGCAGGGCCCAGCGGTGACCTACCTGTGCGGCTGTGGGCAGTCACCTGCGGGCTCCAGGGCTGCCGCCCTCCCCCCACGGCTGGGCAGTGCTCAGAGGGCACTGCAGCGTCCGGCACGGAGCCGGCCACACGGAGGCCGCTTTCCCTCTGCCCGCCCCCACCTCCCCCCACCTCCCACCCTCTCACCGGTCCTCCTGAGACAAACTCCCAGGTGCACGAAAGAGCATGTGTGTTTTGGGAGAGGAACACGGAAGCAGAGCAAAGGTTAACCCAAAGGCTGAAGGCGAACTTTATTTGGAGGAGCTGAAAAGCCTGCCTAGTGGCTTTTCGCTCCTAGCGCATTGGTGACCACCAAGTTCCCATCCATTTCACGGCCCGAAAGCCTGCAATGGCTGCAGGTGTTAAGGGCCGAGGAGTGGGTACATGGGGGCACCCCCTCTCCCCTTTCTGGGCTCCTTCCTTTACCTCTCTGGAGGCTGAGCCCCAGGTAACTGTGCGGGGCCCTGGGAGGCAGGGCCTGCAGTCCCTCCCCACCCCCCGCCCCTCCCGGAGGTGCTCTGGGGCCTGACGGGGACTCACCACGCCGGAGCCCCGTTTCATCCAGACGATGGTCAGGGACGGGTTTCCGGTCCAGGAACAGCTGAAGACGGCGTCTGAGCCCAGGTCCACGAGCAGAGACTGGGGCTCCGCTGTCATCCGGGGCCCGACTGCGGTGGGGGAAGGACGGCGGCGCTCTGGTCGGCTGGGAGCTCTGGGGACCCGTTTTGTGGCTGCTGCCCCCACCCCCGGCCCCTCCAGGTCCCCGTGCCACCTCAGTGCACTTCAGCCCCTCCCTTACATTTCGGTCCCTGCCCCTCGGGCCTCCCCCTGAGCCCGCCTCTCTCTGACCACCCCAGGAAGACAGTGTTGCCCCGGGCAGGAAAAAGGCTCTCTGGCCCCCTGTGTCTGGAGAGGCCCTCGGGGCTCTCCCATCGCCTCCCCTCTGTCCGGCCCCAGGAAGTCCCCCTCTGGAGTGCGGGCAAGAAGGGCCTTCCTCCTTGGGCCTGGGGGATCCGTGTGTCTGCCTTCAAGTCAACCGGCCTCTGCCTGAGTGTTGAGGCCCCTCCTAGTGGCCCTGAGATTCAGAATGGAGCGGGCTGGGTGGCTCCCGGGTGGCCCCCACTGTCCCCGCCTCTGCTCTCAGCGACCCTCTCTCCCGACCCTTCCACGCCCCTGCTAAGTGTTGGCAAGGTTCATGGGGGCTCCTCTCTGCACTTCCTGCCCACCCCCTGCCCCAGCCTCCTGCAGACCGAGTGGGGCCCCGAGTGAGTGTGATGGTGAACTTCAGGTGCTGTGATGAAGGGCGTGCAGGGAGCTGTTTCAGGGAGTGAAATATGGGGCCAGGAGCCTGGCCGCACCCCTCGCTGTAGACCGGGAGCTCGGGACTCTGTGGGGGCCGAGGGGAGGGGCAGGCGTCCAGAGAGTGTGTGAAAGTGCTTTTAAAACTGCAAAGGGCAGTAGAGGTGCTGTGTCCAGCTGCCTGTCACGGTGGGGGGGGTCTGCCAGGCCAGTGGGAGGAGTGGCGGCTGTGAGCCCGGAGTGGGGGGCAGGCTGGGTGGACTGGCAGTGGATCTGCTTGGCGCTTGGTCCCAGTTCCCCTGCTCTCGCTGCCTCACTGTGTGACCTCGGGCCTCTGTCCCCTCCTCTGGGCAGTGGGAACAAAGACCACCTTCACGGGCGGCTATGAGGGCCACCCCGGGGGGAGGCTCTTTGCCAAGGGCACGGCTTTGTGAGCTCGGGAGGCACTGTGACGTTGTGCGGTGGGCCCGGCAGTCCCCCTGGCCCTGAGCTGGGCCCCCCCGGGCTGTGGCCCCGGCAGCCCCCAGACAGCGGCACTCACAGTAGACGTCCACGGTGCGGCTGATGTTGGTGCTGCCCAGGGCGTTGGTCACCTCGCAGGAGACAGGCTCGGAGAAGTACGTGTAATCCACCGCCGTCCGATACACTTCTCCCGACGCCTCCTTGATGATCTGGCCCCGCTTGGCCCACCTGCAACACAGGGCCCAAAGGCTGCTGTGGTCTCTGGCAGCGAGGACGTCCCCCTGGCCAGCCTGGCCCAGGGGGCTCTACTGTGGCAGCCCAACGCCCACCGAGAAAGGAGGTGTGGCCCGGGAGAGCGTGGGGCCTGCCTGTGGGGTCCCTCAGTGGGAGTCTCCGTGGAGGGGTTACTTCCAGGGCTGGGGAGCAGTTGGGGGGGGCTTCAGTCTGAGGTCCCCAGGGGGTCAGTGGCGCTGGATGGGCGGGTCACTCTGGAGGGAGGTGGTTTGACTGTACAGTTGGTCAGCCCCTCTGGCTGGTGAGGCAATGGACAGCCCGATGGTCAGCGCCCAGACAGCTCGTCCACCTGCTCTGAGCTCCAACGGGGACCCCGTTGGGGCCACGTTGGGAAAGGGGATGAAGTCCGTGACCTTGGTGGCCAAGGTCCAATGGCCTGCGCCCGTGCAAGCTTGCCTGCTGCAGGCTCCATACAGAGAAGTGTGGCTCCAGGAAGCTGCGTTTCCAGACGAGGCCAGAAGCTGATGGATGGTGTTCGCCCACGGCTCTGAGGGCCCCTCGCACTCAGCCCATTCCCCCAGCTCTCCTGCCCGACCTGGGCCCCTCACAGGGCCCCCTCTCTCCCTTTCAGCCCCCCCCCCCCCCCAGGAATGGCACTTGCTGTCTTTCCTGTCTAGTTTCCCCCTCCTGCCCCCCCTTCGCTCCTCAGAGGGCTGGACTCCTCCATCTGTCCTGGTTGGGTCAGGGCGGCGGCAGGAAGAAGGCTGTGCCGACTTCTTTTTTTTTTTTTAGATTTTATTTATTTATTTTTAGAGAGAGGGGAAGGGAGGGAGAGAAACATCAGTGTGTGGTTGCCCACCTCATGCCCCCATCTGGGTACCTGGCCTGCGACCCAGGCGTGTGCCCTCACTGGGAATCAAACTGGTGACCCTTTGGTTCACAGGCCGGCACTCAGTCCACTGAGCCGCACCAGCTGGGGCTGTGCCGACATCTTTCGTCAGTCAGCCAGTCCGCCCCAGCAACCAGCACCAACACAGGGCAGAGGCCAAGGGGCCTCGGGCCTGCCATGGTCCTGGCCCTGGGACCTACATCACTGGACTGGACCTGTGACCGGGGCAGCCTGCGACCTGTGGGGCCATGCTGGTGTTCTCCAGGGTGTGTCTGTCTGTCTGTGCGCACGCGTGGGTGTGTGCGGTCCCGTGGGGTTCAAAGCTGCCTCGGGTTTAATTCCACTACGGACAACAAACACTCACTTTTTAAAGTGACAGAACTTCTGCCTGGCTCCTCCTACAGTTCCAGCCGTTTCGGGGTGTCCGTCCGTCTTCCCCAGGGCTAGAGAGGTTCTCTGGCCCCCACACTGTCACTCATGACCACGGTCCCTGCCACCACAGCTTCCCTGTGGGCGCTGCCCTCACCCCACTCCCTCTCCTTCCAGGCGCCGTCCCTGGACGCGGGGAGGCTGGCCGTCCCCGGCCCCCCCCTCCTGTCCCCACCGTCCCTGCAGCCCTGGGGAGCGGGCCCCTCTCCGCAGCACCAGGAGCTCCCAGGCTGGCACCATGCAGTTCTTATTCTGAATTAACACCGGGTAATTATTAAGAACACGATTAATAATAACAATTACACTTTAACAACAGCAAACCATGTTCCCTGAGAGCTTAAGGAGCTTCCCAACAAACCATTATGAGTGACTCATGAATCACTTCAGTTTCTAACTTTAATTTAATGACTGGACTTAATGGGCACAGCCCCTGCCTGAGGTGGATGAACTCAGCCCCAGACACACCGCTGGGGTCCAACCCCTACTCCTTCCCCCCCTTCCTCGGTGAGGGGGTCGGGTGGGGGGTGCCCAGGAGCTGGGGCTGGGAGGAGGGCGAGGCCGCTGGGTTCGGAGTTGTTCAGAACTGCAGGGCAGGAACTGTTGGGACAGCTGGGGACTAAGCCTTCTGTCCCCTGCAGAGCCCTGCTGCCTGAGCCCAGCCATCTGCGCAGCTGTGGCCCCGAGCACCCCAGGCCTGCTCCGCCTTGCAGGCAGAGGGGGCGGCAGGGGTCGATCTTAGACTTTCCCCTCCCAGGGTCATGGCAGGAGCTGGCTGGGGGGATGGAGCCTTCTGGGGACCCCCTGAGAGTCTCCTGCTCACCTCTCTGCCGATCTTCTCCCCATTGGATTCTCCCCGCACACACCAAAACCCTTGTCTTGTGGGGGTCCTTCCGGAACCTGAAACCACTCATTCCGGCGGCCGGCTACCAGATCAAGGGTAAACCAGGGGCAGGGACTGCCCACTCCCCATTTCCCTTAGCTCTTCTCTCTTCTCCCCTTGGTCCTTGGCTTAGCTTCCTCCTGCTACTCTGTGCTCTTGTCCCTTCACCCGCCCACCCCCCACCTACCACTCCCGCCTCTCCCAGCTGCTCAGAACAGGAGTAGCGGTGGGGGGGGGGGGAGTGAGGACTTGGGGGGGGGTGGGTAAGCCTTCCCCAATCAATGGGACCCAAGCGAAGGTAAGAGAATGAGCTGTGTGCATCGCAGAATCAGGGGCCTGGTGTGTCTCCACCTGCCGGCCCTCCTCGAGTAGCCCCACGTTGCATGTTGGGTGGCCGTCCCTCCCTGTGCCTGTGGGGCCCTGAGTGAGCCTCAGAGGGAAGCAGGTGGGAGACCAGCTTGGTGCCGCGCCGGGGCCTGTTCTCACCCGGGAACAGGCTCCCGGTCCCGAGGGGCCCCCGGAGTGACAGCGAGCCTGGCTGCATGTGCCCCCATGCGCACCCTGTGCCCCTGTCCTGGGCGCAGAGGGCATCTCTGATTTCTGAGACCACAGCCTTTCGTGTAAAACGGGGAGGAAGCAATTGAGAGGAATGGAGAAAAGACACGAGGATCTCTGTAATCTTGTCAAAGTCAGTTGGGAAAATCAATGTGCTTATGTGATGAGATTTGCTTAGGGTTTTCCTTTTGGATCCTAGCAAGGCTCCCAGAAGTACCTTCTGGGCGAGACCTCACTGAAGCCCGAGGCCCAGAGGGTGTGGGGGGGCTCAGGCAGCCCCTCCCCCCTTCTTTCCCAAGGCATCCAGCTGGGCTCCCCGGAGGCCTGGAGGGAGCTGGATCCAGTCTGAGGCGTTCTCAGAACCCTTGGCCGGTCGGAAGGCCACAGGGCAGGTGACAAGGACAAGTGCCCACCTGCGAGGAGCCCACCTGGCCCCCTGACGGCCCCTCCATGTGTGGCCAGACCTGTGACTGGGACCCACAGGAGATCCGGAGCCCAGGGAAGCCCGCAGGGTCTCTGCTTGGTTGTCTGCTTGTCTATTCGTCAACTCTTAGAATTTTGCAGTTATAGGAAAGTTGCAAGAACAGTGCAGTGAGCTGCCCTTCCCCCTCACTGAGCTCCCCGATTGTCTCTCTCACTGCCTCTCTCCGTCGGTGCACGCACACCCTACTACCACTGTCACCGATGCTGTTCTGTTCTTTGGAGACGGGTGACTGGGGCTCAGGCCCAGGAGCCTGGTTTCTGGGGTGCCTGCTCGTTCTGTGCAGGCTGGTGGAGCAGGGGCAGAGCGGGGGACTAGGCTGGGCCCTGAGTGCAGCCCTGCCCCCGCCCTGCCTCGGTAACAAGGTCCTCAGCGGACCCAGAGCTGAGCGGTGTGGAGACATAGGAGGGGGCAGCTCTCTGCTCTGGTCCAGGTGTTCATGGGACACTGTGGGGGCCCCTGTGGGCTGCGCCTGCCCCCGTGGTCTGGGTGCACGAAGGGCTGCCTGTGAAACTGGCATTAGGGTACCTTCTGGGCACGTGGCACCTGGTGTCAGGGGTCATGAGCAGAGAGCAGACCACAGAGAACAGCCCGCCCTGTCAAGAGCGGATGGCCCGGCGGGCGCAGTACTGGAGCATCCTTGTCACTTCCAGACAGATGCTGGGTCCCAGCCAACCCAGACCTGCCCCTGGGCCCTCTGGGATGCATGACTCCAGGGACCCCCCAACCCAATGAACAGCTAAATTGGACAGGACAGATGGATTTTCATCCTATTTAAAAGAGACTCTGTCTCTCCGGGTTTCCTGTCCCCATGTTGTTTCATTACCTGCACTGCAGGGGGCGCTGGCTTACGTCCAGCCTGAGCCTCTGGCTGCCTCTTTGGCCCATTACCCCTGCTTCTGCCTCCCGGGCTGAACTGCCTCTCTGGCCTCCTTTCCCCCCACCCACAAGGCCGGCATATTTCCACTTTGAGACCATTAGCATCTCTGGTGCTGGCTGATGCTGCCGCTTAATAGCCCATTTTGGTGGCACAGGCCACACTCTGGGCTCTTCCATCAGGTCTGGGGTGGTAGGGAGGGGTGGGGGTGGGTAAGGCCATGGTGAGGCCCGCTGAGGGGTGAGGCCCCATCTGCTCGTGAGTGCCTCTGAGCTCCCTCGACCCCAGATGTCGTGCAGCGATGGTGCCCAGGATGGAAGGAGCCCAGGGGAGCAGCCCTGCGTGTCTCCCCGGCAGCTGGCTCACGTTCTGGAGAACCAGTGCCTGGCGCACATGCTCTGCCCCATGCCGAGAGCACGCGTGACCCACACTGCAGCGCTTGCCTCGGAGAGGCTCCGTCAGCGGGAACCACAGTGAGGCTGCGTCGGGGCTGTGAGCAGGCAGCACCCAGGGCCACGGCTGCGACCTGTCCCAGGCGCCACTGCACAGGGCCAGCTGTCCCAGAAACCCCACCCTATCCAGGGGAACAGTTTGGGGACCCAAAACTGGAATCCAGATGCTGCTCTTACTGGTCCCCTGGTTGTTTTAACTTATTTCCTTGGGCCTTTCTCCCTCGTTTCAGAAAAAAGGGATCCACAAGCTATTCAGACAGAAGGGGTGACCCCTACTCTCTGTGGTGGGATGGAATATACGTGTGTGTTAAGGAGAGGAGTCCCACCTGGCCAGCATGCCGGGGGGGCGGGAGGGGAGGCAGAAGGAAAGGAGCCCTCCCCTGGCCAGGGGACATGTGGCCCCCGCAGCAAACCATAGCAGAAAAGCTGGATGCCCAGGACACGGCGACAGCCCGCAGGCTAGGCGGGGGTGTGGGGTCTGTGCCTCCGCAGCAGTGGCTCTGACCTGTACTGGGTGACCGCCGGGTTGGCCTTGGCAGAGCAGTGGAAGGTGACGACGTTGTCTTCCAGCACCGGCTGTGGCTCCACGGACAGGTTGACGAGCGGCGGGTCTGCGGAGAGAAGAGATTCCCTCGTAGATGGGGGAGCTCTGCCCACGGCTTGGGGTACAGCGAGGCAGGAAGACCCGAGGAGACGCCCCAGGTGTCATGGAGGGTAAAAGCCGGAGGTTCCACCACCCATGATCCTGGGGACCCTCGGAGCAGCCATCACTGCCGCGGTCCCCAGGAAGCTGGGGGCTTCAGCAGGGGCTCCCCCGCTCCCTGGAGGTGCTGCCTCAGGCAGCCCTGGTGGCAGGGTCAGGGCTCCCTCTGTGGATTCAAAGCCTGCTGTTTAAGTGGACAGCCAGCCGAAGCATGGCTGCCGGGCCCCTGCACCACGCTGCCCATCTTCCAGCTTTTAGAGAGAACAGAGCGCTTCAGCAAGGAGAGGGGGAGGGGGCTGTGCAAGGGGCACGAGGGGGAGTGGGGACAGCGAGGTTCATTTACATACAAACTGTCCTCTTTGGAAATGTCTGATTCGCATTTCTTTGTGCAAAGGCTCTGGTGCCTCCCTTCACTTCAAAGTGGCATTTACACCCTTTCATCAGCCTAATCATCTCGTCTGCATTCTGACTGGTGGTGTCGTCCAGCCCTGGCTCCCCAGGCCGGCGGGCTCTCTCCTTCAGTGACGAGAAGCTCTGAAGTGCTAAGTGGTGGGAGGTGGAGGAGACAGGGAACTGAGAGCGGGCAAGAGGCAGGGAGACCGGGAGCAGAGATGGACAGACACGCAAGGGGGTCTGCAGAGCGGGGATGGGAGGCGGGCGTGGAGACACGCAGGAGAGAGACGTGGAGTGGGGAGGGGGGGAGAGAGGGAGAGAAGTGCCGAGGAAATAAAAAACCCCAGAGAAACACTGAGAAGCAGAGAGAGACACACAGAGGGAGTGACATACGCCGAGAAACATAATCAGACCAAGATTTCAGACTAGACGCAGAAAGAGCAAGGGAGACAAGCAGACAGAAACGTAAAGTGGCAGAGGGTTGGGGAAGAGGACCAGACTAAATAATGAGGAACAGTGACCAGAGAGAGGAAGCAAGAGGCGCCGAGGGTGTGGAGACGGAGCGATCCACAGCAGAGAGACGGAGAGGCGGGAGTCAGCTCAGGGAACCGCTTGGAGGCAGGTGGCCCTCCTGAGCTTCGGGGAGCTGGCTTGGGACCTTCCCGTCAAGCTGGTGTCCCCCATGCCCCTGGCTCCCCGGCTTTGGTGTCCCTGGTGTCCACACTCCAGGGAGGGGCGAGGATAGCCAGTGCCCATTCCCTGTCTGTCGTGGTGTAGATGCCCGGCTGGAGTTGAACTCCAGGTTAATTCAGAGGGTGGCCTGGCCTGGGCCCTGGGCTGCCTCTTCAGGCCTGTCCTCACCAATAAGCAGAGCAAGATGCTGGAAGATATTAGGATTTCCTAGGGGTTCAGCCCATTTTCGGAAAAAAGCAGTAAAGAAGCCGATTACTCAGGGATGATTGAGAAAAACTGCTGACCCCTCTGGGTGCAGGTGGAGGTCCCCAGAAGGGGGACCAGGAATCCTGCCAGCGATGGCCCATGGGGTCCCGGGCCCCTGTGGGGGTCATAGGCACGGCTCCCCCTGCCCTGCTGGTGCTCAAGCCGGCCAGGCCTCCCTGCCTGGCGCTGGGCCTGGGGCCTGGGGCCTGGGAGGGGCCCACGGGCTAGGTTGTGCAGTTTTCTGTGGACAGAGTGTTGAGACCCGGGCTCCTGAGCAGCAGATGGCCCACTGTGCCAGGGACCTGTGCTCCTGCTTCATCCCCCGGCTCCTGATGGGGGCCACCATCATCAGGAGCATCTGCTCCTGGGACAGCCGGCTTGCCTGCCTTTTCCTGCACCATTACCAGGGAGGTCACAGGTATTCAAACGATCTTAATCTTACTGTTCAAAGCGTAGTTCAAGTTGTCACAAAGAGGTCATGTGTCAAGGACTGGCCACAGGAGCTCTCCTTCCACCACCCTGGAGAGCCAGGACCCCCAGACCCCCGCAGCCACTCCCAGCTGCTGTCCACCCCATACCAGGACTACCAGCTTCCAGGCCCGGATGAATCGGGAGTCCCAGCCCTCCTTCCGTGCAGGGCTAGCCGGCCAAGCTGGGCGCCCTCAGCATCTGACATCTCACTGAGGGCTACAGAAGCGTGTTCTGGGGTGCAGGCCCATAGGTAATTGCCACCTGGACCTGGCTGCTGTCCTCACGTTATGAAGTCCTCCACCCACCCCACTCTTGTCTGAGGGGGTGATGGCGCCAGTTTGACAGAATCTAGAAACCCAGCACAGAAACTGGGCGGGGGTGGGCGCAGTTCCAGGAGGCCCATCCCCAGCTGGGTGTCCTTCGTCAAAGGATGGGTCTTGGGGGCAGGGGATGGGACACATGCCTATGGGGGCCCTTCTTTCCTGAGCCCCTCCTCCACCATGCACCTGCCACTCTCAGTTTACCCTGCGGAATAGTCTCTTGCAGCTGCCTGCCTCTTTGCAACATCCTCGGTGCCAGCCTTTCCCGCAGGGCCTCAGGAGGAGAGGCCTCCGGGAAGCATTCACACTTCCGCTTTCACTGAGACCCCCGGCCTGGCCCACGGCCCCTGCGCCCCTCTCTCCGACCTCTCCCCTGGATGTGCAGGTAGGAATTCTCAGGAGCCTACCAGGCTCCATAAATAGTTTATGTCATATCCAACTATTAAGCATGATTTTAATCCCCCTTGTGATGTTGGCTGCATAACATGCAGAGGGCAGCTTTGATGTAGCTGGTGGAACCAAGACCACATCGAACAGATGTTGCAGCCGAGAGTCTGTCAGTGTGTCTACCAGCAGCGGGGGTGCACACGTGTGTTCACTACAGGGAGGGGGAAGCACTGCGTGGAGGAGGGGGCGGGAAAGAGAGGAATTCCATTACTTAGTGATTTTATAACACATCCATTTGCAACGTGGCAGCTGGAGGCAGAGTCCAGATGTGGTGAGGTTTGGGGGGGGCAAAGCTCTCTCTCCCATGACTCAGTCTGGGGACTGTGTCTTCCGTTGGGCAACATATAAAGACCAAGGGAAACAAACAACAAACGTGCTTTTGCTGAGTGTGGGCGTTTCTCGGTTGGCGGAGAAAAGGAGCAGGTTTGCAAAGGCGGCTCGGACCCCACCCACGGTGTGCCCGCGAACGGCAGGGTGCTCGCTGAGTGAACAGGGGAGCAAGTGGAGGAGGAAGGAGGGCCGTGCGGGTGGAGAGAGCCTGAGCTTCTGCTTGGCACACACACGCAAAACGACTTTCGGGAGAGGACAAGTGGAAGGAGACCTCTCCCCTGTTGGGGCTGGGGGGGTGCCCTGGGGGCGGCGGCCCTGCACGCCTGACTGCATGGCTACAGCAGCTGACAGGCACAAGGGGCTCGCCCGGTGCTGGGCACGATGCCAAGGCGACCCTCTGAACGATTTAAGGGGACCCCACAGCCATCCTGCGAGGGAAAGCAGTGTTACCTCTGTATACCGATGAGGAAACCGAGGCACAGAGAGATTCAATAGCCGGGTAACCTTGGCAGAGCCCTGTCCAAACCGAGAGGAAGGCTGTGGCCCTAACTTCCGACCTGTACTCCCTCGGGTGGGCGGGCCTGTGAAGGCAGGCACGTGGGGTCTAAGCCCCAACCTGAGCTCACCCCCACACATCCCCCCTCGCAGGGCGGAGACCTCCTGGGGAAGAAAGGCAGGTGGCGCCCAGAGGCCACGCAGCGTCTCCTCAGACGCCGGCTGTCATCTGTGCACTCGGTCAGTGGGTCCCTCATCAGAGTGCCCTGAGAGCAGTGGCATTCAATGGGTGGTGGGCTGTCACGTGGTGGCAGCTCTCCAGCTGACGGGAGGGCTTCCCCCGGTGGGGTGGGTAACGGCCTGGGCCAGAAGCACTGCCGCTCCCGGCTGCTCCCGGGCCTTCCTGCCAGGGCCCAGGCTGCTGCTGTGGGAGCCAAGCAGGGGACTCTTCTGTGCAGGATTCGTAGCTGGCCCAGGCCTCCAACCAGCTTGAGGGCTGGAGGGGAGAGGCAGGACAGGGTGCGGAGAGGCCACAGCCAGCAGCTTGTGGTCGGGGGCTTGGGTGTCTGGCGCCTCCCACCCTGGTTCCTCCCAGGCTTGGCTTGTGTCTGCAGAGAGCTCTGATCCGTGGTCAGTCCTGTGGTGAGAGGGCACCTTGGACGTCATTCGGTGCAATTGGACAAGGAACCGAAGGCCCCAGATGGAGCTGCATGCTTGGGTCTGCACAGCCCGTGGGTGGGGCCTTTCTGGATGCTAGACTCCCTGAAGCCCACAGCACCCAGCTTCCCCTTCACCCACCGCTGGGCCTACTGCCTGCTTTGTGCCCCCAGGGAAGAAGCAGGTGGGTGTGGGGAGCCAGCCGTGGCTCGGGGTTGGGGGAGGGGCCTCTCTCTCAGGCTGACCTTGAACTTACACGCCCCTCCCTCCTCTCGCCCTGGTCCTAGGCCTGGCAAGAGCCCTGCAGTTCTTGGCTCTCACCAAGTGAGGAGTGAAAGAAAACTCCTAGCTTGGCGAGGTGAAGACAGAGACAGAGGAGACAAAGCCTCTCCAAGAACTCAGCAGCCACGTCTGGTATCTACAGCGAGCCCGTCTGAAATCCCAGCCATTTCTTCTGTCCTCAGGAATGTCAGTGGCATCTGCAAGGACGCAGACACTTCACGGGAACGTAGGCTTGCAGGCTGTGGAGGCGGGTTCAGAAAACCCGAGGGTACGGAGCCCCAGAGACCCGTGTGGGGTCAGAGTCCAGAGGCCGTGGACGAGCCGGGGCTGTTGAGAAGTGTCTCCAATGAATTGGATTGAGAAGGAATAGAATGATAAGGAGGGAATGAATGTGAGCCTGCAGCCCCGGCCTTGTGGCTCAGCACCTGTGACCCAGGCAGCCAGCCTCCCGTGGCAGCACTGTGCACCCCTGGCAGTGGGGGCGGGCAGGTGTCAGAGAAGACCAGCTGGTTTCTGAGAGCTGACAGTGTAAACCTAGCCTGGCCCAGAGCTGCGTGCGAGGCCACTGGGCACCTTGCAAAGCCCTCCTCTGCTCTCGGGGACTGACAGGCACTTTGGGGGACGGTGGGGGTCTCTGTTAGGGGACTTTTGGAATGCAATGCTGGTGTGGCTTTAAGGCACCCTGTTCGTAGTAGCTGTGGTAATAAACACTTGCCCAGGGCCCAGAGTTTGGAAGCATGGAGGAGGGTTTACCAGCACAGTCTCTGCCTGCTTTTGAAACCTACGTGGCCTTGGGCAAGCTAATCAGCTTTGGGGGCCTTGGCTTCCCCAGATGGGGCCACAGCCATACCTACTCCAAACCATTGTTGTACAGATTAAATGAGATAATACATTTGAAGGACGGACTGTCTCTTCTTCCCCTTCACCAACCCTCCCGGGAGGGCAGCCCTCCAGACCCTCCAGAGGGGTGGCACTACCCTCCAAGTCTCAAACTCTGAGGGCCCCTTCAGCGCCTAGCACCTCTGCTGTGGCCTCCCCTCCCAGGGACCGTGTGGGACCAGCTGGTGAAGCCAGCAGGGCCAGGGGCTCCCCAGGCTATTTTTACTGGTGTGGAAGTGCCATCTGACACAGGTGTAGGAAAGAGGCTTAAATACATTGTTTGCCAAGGACGCTCATCTGAGATGTTTTCACTTTCTGTGACAATAAGGACACGCTGGCCCTTTGGGTGCCCACGAACACAAATGTGGCCAGTGCCCAGAGCTGCCTGGTCCTGTGCCTGCCTCAGGTGCCCTGCAGAGAGGGACCTGAAGGAGGTGGGTGGGGCCCAGGGAGCTGGTTGGCCCGGCCGAGTCCCTTTCAACACCTGAGCTCCAGGCAGGGGTGCTGGTTGGTGGTGTCTTCCCTGGCCCAGGCCTGGTGGATACTCACGCTGGACATCGATGGTGACCGAGGTCTCCTTCCCTCCAGGGACAGCTTTGTTGGTGGCCCGGCACACGATGCTCTGCCCGTTCTCCACGTCTCCGGGGGAGATGAAGAGGGTGCTCACGATGCTCTCACGCTTGCCGTCACGGAGCAGGGTCTGGGGGGCAGGGTAGGGAGAGAAGGCCCCACGTCACTCGGCTGGGGGGTCCTGGGCAGCTACAGGAAGAGGGAACCCTGTGCACAGGAGGGGGCAGCTTGGGACCCCAGGGTGTCCATCTCCGCACAGAGCTGGGTTACCTTCTGCTCCCCAGTCTGGCTGAGTGCTGGGCTACAGAAGGGAAAAAAGAAAGCTTCCCATCGTGTGTGAACATCAGGCTGGACTTGCGGACCCCACGTTATAATGGAAACGAGGCTGCAGTCCTAAGGACCGTAGTGATCTGCATCTGTCTGCCTTTTGTTCGAGGGACCACTGGGTCTGCATTCAGACGTGTGCGACAGGCAGCGATGGAGTCTGGGGGGCTGCGGCTGGGGCCGATGCGGGCGGAGTCGGTGCACACGGACTCTTTATTGCTTCTTCTGCATAAACCCTTTCAACTTGTTGGACCATTTCACTTCCTGACCTCACGGCCGCCCTGACCAAGTCATCAGAGGCACAGATGCCATCATTTTCCCCCTGACAGGGGAGCAAGCAGGGGAGACCAAGAGAGGCACAGGGCTTGACCGAACTTACACCTCAGGGTGGAGGCGAAATAAGCCAGAGGGTCCTGTCCTGGGTTCACTTGTGTCCCTCCCCAGACTCATGTCCCTCTGGAGCCTCAGCTTGGGACCTGGTTTGGGAACAGGAACTTCGCAGATTAGTGAGTAATTAGGGATTTGTTGAGAACCTGGAGACCAGATTATCCTGGATTTAGAATGGGCCCTAAATCCAATGACTGAGAGACACGTTGGAAGGAAGAGGCAGAGACTGGAGGCTGCCGCCAGCCAGGGCCTGGCGGGAGCCCCCCGTGAGCCCGGAGAGGTCTCTCTAAGCCTTTGGAGGGAGCCTGGTCCCGTCAAATCTGTAAGTGCAGACTTCGGCCTCCTCAGCTGTGAGACAATGCATTGCAGTTGTTTCAAGCCTCGGGTGCGGAACTTGGTTGGGGCCCCAGGAAACGCCTGCAGGTCCTGGGCCTTTGGCCCCCATCTTACGTTCCTGTTTCCACAGCACCATGAGGTCATTCCGCGGCCAGTCCCACCATCGTCGCTACGCCCCTCCCTCACCTGCACCCCTTCTCAGTTACCTCCCCATCAGTTTGGTGCCCTGGAAGCTTAGTGAGCCCACCGATGGCCCACTAAGGTGGGTGCGTGCTGCGGAGGGGTGCCGGCAGGAGGGCCACTCCCAAGGTGGGACCGTTAGTCCTCAGAGACTGCTGATTCTGGGAAGGAACTTGCTCCTTCCAGAAAATGGGTGCCAGGAGCAGTCTTATTTTGCCATTATCAGAGCCAGGGAATAGAGTAATAGTCTTTACTTCCTCAGAACCTTCCTTAAAATAACCACAGCATTGACTCTAATCTCACCAGACTCCAGAAGGAAGGACATATTATCTCTGTTTAGCAGAAGAAAAAACTGAGTTCAAAGGGAGCCCAGAACTTGCAGGGCAGGGCTGGGGTTTGCACTTGAGGATGGTGACCGTCAGCCAGGGCCCTCCCACCGCAGCTCCCGGAGAGTGAGATGGTGGTTGGTATGACCACTTAAAGGTGGCAACAGTGAGAAGCCCTGTGTAGCCTCCAAGGTCCCCGGACTGTGCGCAGCACCACGGAGGCTGAGGGGACAGCTCTCTGGGCCCACAGGTCAGCCTGGTCCTTCTCCACTGGGGCAGAGCTTGTGGCCTCCAGCACTGGACGGTGACCGGAGCCTCTGCCCAGATCAGCATGTCCTGCACAGACAAAGCCAAGGCTCTGGGATGCTGCCGGGATTCAGAGAGCAGGGCAGCCGTCCGCCCTGTTTATTCTGGACGTTCCAAAAGTGCCTGGGCCTGGGCGGGTGCTGGTGGCTCGAGGCCTCAGGGCATATCTGCCCCTGGGAATCACGGGGTGGTGGCCTCAGCCCTGGGAGGAGGGGTCCTCAGAGAGGGGTTGGGGACAGGGATGTTGCCAGTCTGAGCCAACCTCGGGGCAGTCCGGGCTGCCAGGGGATCAGGCTCAAGGCCAGGGTGCGGAACTGGAGGCAGGCCAGTAGAGGGCCCAGCCCAGGGGTCTTCGAGTGAGGGACAGGCCCGGGGTTGAGCCCCAGCCCTGACAGCTGCTGGCCCGCTGGGGCTCCGCTGCAGACCACCTGAGCTTACAAATAGCCAGGCGATAATAAGAACAATTTCCTGGATGACAGTGAGACCTGGGGTAGATATGTCTATGTGGGGGGAGGTCAGTACCTCCCACCCCCACATTCTTTACTTTTCCATTGTGCTAACAAGGGCATTTAAATGTTTGCCTGGGCCAGGAGCCCTTCCACAGATCTGCTCTCTGCGGGGGAGAGCAGGGCCATCAGGGTGCTAGTGGGTGAGGAACCAGGAGGCCCGAGCTCCTAATTAGGCCCCTGGATTGCCTCCCCACCGCCCTTCCCCCACCCAGGCTGCTTCCCTGCCTCAGAACGATGATTAATGACACATTTACTGTGTCTGGGTGTGTGCTTTTCTGGGAAATAAAAATTCTGGTTCAAGTTGTTTGTTCCACCTAATTAAGGAAAGGGAGATGCGTTCATCGAACTGGGGGGGAGCGAGGCAGGCGGGCTCTCGGCTCCCAGCTCTGGGGGGGCTCCCGGGAGGGGCTGGCTGGTGGGGTGGCCAGAGTCTGGCCTCGAAGCTCACCCTCATTATCTCCTTCCCTCTTTCCTTCCTAATCTTCTCATTTCCCCTTGCCTTTCTCTCTCACACACCCTCCCTTTACTCATATGCAAATGAACCTCTGCTTTTCCTGGCCTTGAAGGTACCAGGCAGGTCTAACATTCTACCATTTGCTGATTCTGGTCACAGCCCCACTTCGCCTTCCCTCCCAGCTCCTACCCTCCACTGAACTTGGCTCCAGGGACACGCTGTGGGCCCCAGCACTCCCCCCCACCCACACCCCCACCTCTTATTTCAGAAACCCTCGTTGGTATGCAGATCAGCTCATCCAGTGAATTGTTAATGGTGAGTCTTTCCTTTCTGGGGCCAGCACTTCCAAGGCCTGGGGCAGCAGGCATCCCCTCTGGCTTGGTGGCACTAGTGGTGCTGCCACATCCCAGCCCAGGCTGCCCATGAGACCGTGAGGGCAGCTCTTGGGGATGCAGTGGGACCGGCCTGTCTGTGTGTGCAGGTGACATGGGCGCAGGGGTGAGCGCTCCGGAGCGGTGGCCTTCATCCGATGGGCTTCCTCTCCCCTGCCTGGTCCAAGGAGCTTTGGGACCGCCCTGGCGCTGCTTCCTGTCTGCCCTCCCCCGAGGGCAGGCATTGGCCCTAGAGGCGGGGCTGCCCAAGGACAGAACGCACCCTGGGTGCAGCCGCCCAGTGCTGGCAGCAGGGCCCCTCTGCTCTGTCCCTGGGGCCTCTGCTGGGCGGTGGAGAGCCAGGCTGAGCGCAGGACGTGGGAGTCCTGGTGCTGCCTGCTGGGGACCCCAGGTGATGAGGACAGAGGTTCGGAGGGAGTGCAGTGGGCGGGCCCCACACCGTGCTGAACAGGGGGATGCGCACGGGTGTGCAGACAGTCCCCAGAGGCCTTGAGTGAGACCCGATTGCCTGGCAACAAGGCCTCCCTTCCTCGCTGAGCTCCCCCGTCCCCTGTCCTATAATCATCTCTCTGATCCCCTTGTTACAGCTGCCTGGGGAGTCCTCTAGGGCCCGTTGTCATGCCATGGCTTGAATAGAGATTTGAGGGAAGGTGAGGCCACCGCAGCACCGGCTGCCCAGACCCTGCATCGCAGGGACCCTCGTCCTTGTGCTGTGGGGCCAGGAGTGGCACCCCTCACACGGAAGGCCGCAGGCACTGGTAGGGACTCTAGGCCCCTAAGATAGACAGACGGGGTGGGGGGTGTTGGGGCGACTGGTGGGGAGAAAGAGCTGGGCCCCGGTGAGGGGGCGGTAATCCAGGGCCCAGTGAGACCCACAGTCCTGGTGGAGGGTGGCCCGTTGGACAGGCCGCTGGAGGAAGCAGAGAGGCAGGGCCGGAGGGTAAGGCCCTTCTGAGTGGACACTCGCATGACTGTGCCGAGACTCGGCCCCGCGCCTGGCAGCTGCGAGCGGAGCAGCGGGTGGAGCAGGACCTGGCTCCCCGCGGAGGCTCCTTCTCCGGCCTCGGCCCCTACAGTCTCCTGCTGCTTCCACAGCCTGTCCTGCCTCCCCGGTTTGTGTGTGATTCCGGTGCCAGAGAAGAGGGGCCATACAGAGAAGATAGCCCAAGTCTGGGCTGTGCAGGAGGAGGACTTGGAGAGAGGCCTCGCACTGGGCTCTCGGCTCCAGTGCTTCTGCACCCAGACACCTGCGGGGAGGCCTGGGTGCTCGCCCAGGCCAGGGGCTCTGGAGGCAGCGTGATAAAGGGGAGCTCTGCCTTCGGGACTCAGAAATGCCTGTGGGAATGGCCCCTGCAGTCCTGGGGGGCTCTGGGGTTCGGGGGGCAAACAGCCCTGCTGGGCCACCCACCCTCCTCCATGTGCTCCAGGTTGCAAGTCCCTGGCTTTCGGAGCTGGCAGACACTGTCAGGGGTGGAGTCCTGTCACCCGTAAAATTCACGTGGCGAAGCCCTGGCTCCTCAGTGTGAGTGTGTGTGGAGACAGGGTCTTTAAGGAGGTAGGTGAGGTCAAGTGAGGTCATCAGGGCAGGGCCCTAGTCCAATAGGACTGGCGCCCTGTGGGGAGAGGAAGCAGGTTTCAGAGACCTCTCCCGGCACACAGGGAGGGAGGAGGCCTCGTGAGGATGCAGAAGAAGGGGCCGCCTGCAAGCCAGGGAGACAGGTCTCACCAGAAACCAGCCACTGCTGGCACCGCGACCTCGGACTCCCAGCCTCCAGACCCGTGAGAAGACAAATGTCTGCTGCCCACGGATCCCCAGGCCGTGGGGCTTTGTTCGGCAGCCCTTCCCCACTAATACAGAGTGTCCGATCCAACCCCCGTGTCTTACAGACCAGGAAACTGAGGCCTGGCGGTGACTTCCTGGGGTTACACAGAGCGGGACCGGAACCCAGGCCCCGGCTGCCCCGTGCAGCCCTTCCTGCCACAGGCCAGGAGGGGTGAGAACGGGGTGGGGCGTGACCTCCTGCTCCCGTTCGTGGTAGCACGGTGCCAGGCAAGGGGTCAAGGTGGTCCCCGCACAGGTCCAGCAAGGTGACTCTGGCCTCTCTTTTCACCAGTTGTGTCCCCTGCAGGACATAAAGGTTGGCGTGGGCCAGGCTGGGCCAGCCTCAGGGAGGGACTGGACAGATGCCCAGACTGGCAGGAACACCCCTTCCCTTCCTTTCACCCTCCACTGCAGGGCACACCGCTGTGTCAGGCTTTTGTATTTCGTAACCCCGCAGGGGGCTCCTGCCCGGGGTGGGGGGGAGGTACACATGTCTCACAGGGCAGCTTCCCCTCCCCTTGCCTGGACTTGCATGAGGAAAGGCTTTTGTCTTGGGTTCTGGCGCCCGGCTCTGGGTGGGGACCTTGATCAGCAGGCCCAGGGTTGACTCCTTGGGAGGAGGAAAGCTGGGTGCTCCCCCTCCTGGGGGTCAGCTTTGGACAGGAAAGACACAGCCTCGGAGAAGGGACAGGCCACACCTCACGTCTTCCCCGGAGGGCGAAGGCTTTGCTCATCTTGCTAAGGACCTTGGAAGGGGCGCCAGGGTGGGTTGGGAGTGGGGAGCAGGTGGTGTACCTCCAAATCTCTGAGGCCGTGAGCAGAAGGGAGAGCCAGGTGCGGGGGTGCTGCCTTGCCCAAGGCCTTGGCACGTCTGAGCAGCTGCCCACGTGTCCCAGACTGGAGAGGCTCATGGGAAGGAGACCAGGGCTTCTGTCCACTCCCCGCCGAGCAGGGCTCTCGCTCCCTGTTAGACCGCCGTGTTCTGATTACAGACCCGGCATCCCCCCCTTCTAGGTCCTGCTCATCCTTCGAGGGTCTGTGGCCCGAAGCCCGTCTGTAGCTCTAGGCACAGTGTCCTTGAGTGGAGTGTGCAGGTCGCTGTTTTGAAGTGCACCTGGGATTCCGTTTTCATCCAGGTGGGGTGAGGCCAGCAGA